TTTTCTATCGTTGAATAATTTTATATACTTGAATACTTTATATAATAAAACAGAGGTCAATAATGGTTTGTACGTTTTGTGTGAAAAAAGTAATGATTCCACACTTCTTTTCATGACACATTTGTTTCAGTGTTTTCAGGAAATTTTATGAATTAAGAGAACAATGGATTGAGATATTTCAAGTATTTTTCTCTCATATTGACACGGTAAAATAAAAAGATAGGTTCTCCAAGAATGGATGTCACAGTGCGTTATATAATAGCATTTCTGATGCAGTCATCTAACGTTTTCAGATAAAGTTTCTTAAAGTATCTTAGAAAAAAGTAATGGGAATTATATCTGATTGTATGTTATTTCCTTAAGGAATTTTTTTTTGTTTTATGTACTTTCTCGTTGTAAGAAGAAACTTTTGTCGTGTTAGGAGTTGCGATTTGTTTGGATCCTCCTATCTTTCTTTGTTGACATGCTTCGATATTTGTTGGGCTATAACTTTATTGTTTTGGATTACAACATCTAGTTACCAGTGCTGTGTGTCCTCAAATATCAATAATTACATAGCGTTGATTCGTTCTCTTCACTACTGTGTTTTCGAGAGTTGTTACTATGTAGCTATCAAAATAAAGTTTACCTATAACTCATCCCAATGTTGGTGCAAATGATGTTTCCTCTCAAGTCCTTCGTTTGCGACTAAGAGTTTAAAAATACACCTCAATTGTTAAATGATCTGAAAAATGGAAGATATGAACAAACTTAAAAAATTCAGTTTTCTTTTTAGTGGCGTATGTATTATTACATGACCAACCCGAATTAAGAGATGTTTAACTTCGCTCAAATTACTATACTGCTGAATAACTGTTCATTTAGCCATGTGCTTACACTGTAGAACGTTATCCTTCAATAATGAAATGTGTAGGATTTGTGGTGAAAGAATGAGATTTCAGTTCTGCCCAAAAAGTGCTTGTTAATGAATAGCGGTATCAATGTAGTTTGCACGCGATACGCATATTCCCAAAGAGACTGATCAGTTTTGCTGATAACTTCAATGGGAGGATTCAAGAAAGCAGAACAAATGAGTTAAATTTCGACACGTTATACGAGCAACTGGTTGTTCGTACTTTTCGTGCTATTAAATACTACTTGTTTTATCTCTACAAGAAATCAGACTCGTGGTTGAATGGGTTTTTATTCAAATTATTGGACACAACAGTTGAAGAGCGAAGTTCTCATTTTCATATACACAAAATATAGAATGATGGGAAATATGATGTCTACAGAAAATACCTTCACGAAAACATTACGCCAGCTGTTCAATGAAAGTATAAGTTCATGAAGTCTAAATGAATACGACTGATGTAGTCATAGCATATCTAGCGTAGTGAAATGGATTTATTGTGGTGCATATAAGAACTAATGATTCCTGTGAACTTGATTTCGAAACCCAAATACAATACGTTCGTTCGTGCTCATATATTTTTTCTTGATGTAATCGCTTTATTTCTAGGATTCTTCCTTTGTACTATTATTCAAATACTTTTAACTATCACAGTTTATACACCCGCGCATATGTTATTTTCAGTTCAGGGAAAATGAAAGTGTGTTATTCTGAAGCGAAAACGCTAAACTCTATATAAACCACACTTTATGGTTCAAAATATACTAGATGCGAAACAGATCAGTAAAAGACAAAGTGGTGTTATTTGAGTTAGTTGCTTTTATGCCCAGTGTGGATACAAAACTTCGTCATTAACATGTGTTGTTTGATTTTCGCGAATTCTGTTGTAAGATTTTCGATGAAAAATATCTTTGCGAATAGTTTCGGTGATCACGTTACTATGTATCGTAGATTTCTATTTCATCGGTTTTTTCATGCGACTAATTACGCTCACAGCTATACAGGTGTTACTTCCAAACTTATTATGTTTAATGATGCTTTATAACCGTTTAGGTCCACTTTGATACGCGCAATTGCCCGGATGAAACCAAGGCAATTTCAGTGGGTAAATGATGGTTTTAAATTTTATTATAATTTTAGATGTGCATTAGTACTTAAACAAATAAGACTACCCAGTTGTCTACCTAATAACTGTGTAGCAGTAAATAAATAGCCCTGTCATTTTTCGACACTGAATGCTGACCACATTAGTTTAAGTGAACTCACCTAGCTGAAGGCGCTCGGTCACGCATTCTCGCCAGATCACGAGTGGGAACGCCGTGCTCAACAATCCCTGCAATCGCTAGCCAGACTAGATCAGATGACCCTCGATATTTTGATAACCTGTCAAATATATCTTCGAACCTCCTCGCTTCTGTCTTTTGATTTGACTTGGTGGGCACGATTCATATTAAGTTTTACTGGTTAAAGCGTACTGAAACTCCGAATACCTGTGGCATCTTCAACTGTTTAATCAATTGTCAAGTTAAAATTGCATTGCTTCGATAAAATAGCAAAGGACATAATAGAATTATCAAATAAATCGAACAAATATCATTCTTTTTTTGTTAAATAGATCACGTACAGATTGTTCGAAACATTATTTAATTTCCTTTTAACACTGAGTGCTTCCATTTCTGGGGGAGTGCTTCAATTCACAATCAAAAATGCACAGTTCCAGTCAATTTAAGCAACGCAACCAAAACGTGAAGTGAATCAATATTGACGGCCACCGCAATTAAACATCGAATAAAATAACACAGATGTAGTTCGAGAGAAACATGGAAATCCAATGATGTAAGGAAAATGTTGTGTTTGTATGAACTAACGATTCCTTTGTGCTTGTTGAATGCTTGATTTCGAATTCCAAGTACAATACATTCGTTCGTGCTCATCTGGTACTTCTTAATCCAATTGCGTTATTTCTGGGATTCTTAGTTTGTACTATTATTCAAATACTTCCAATCGTCGTATTGGCGCCGCAATGGAGCCTGCGATGGAAAATAGTACCATCCGAAATGGAATCAGAAAAATGTGCATCTGAATGAACCAAGATGAATACAACTCAACTATGTGAATGGAGAAGGATTTTTACAAAGTTCTTAAATTAGACTTGTGACAGATTAGATCGATTAGTTAAGAGTTTATCTCAAATAACTAAGTATATGTCAAAACAATAGGGCTCAAGTATTCATTCACCGCATTATTTCGTATAGACGTTATATTTCCTGTTCCCTAATATTGAATGTTAAAGAGCTTTGTGTGTTTAAACAGATAATCCCACACTCCACAATCTAAATAAGGATCTATTCACTGCTCGTCTGGTTTCTTCTATCAATGGAACAAGGGTTCAGACGATTCAAATGGTTGTGGACGAAATAGAAAAGCTTTCGCTTAACGGGCTTCGGTGCCCAATAACAGTTGATCATCAATATCTCCATTTAGGATCGTAGGTATTTTGACGATAAAAGGAAAAAAGTTGATAAATCTGAGCAAGATATTTTTAGTTCATAAGTATATATCAAGTTTACTCTAAACGGACTCCCGAGAAGTCGTTCGGACTAATTCAGCCGGCAGCAACTTCTATCGTTTAACAATTTTTATGGATTAGAAGTCGTGTCTACAATCCGATCTGCTGTGTTCGATCTCCAGTTTTTAGGTGTTAACTATAAATTAGTGTTGAAGCTACATTTAAGTAGGTGTTTAGTGGAACGTTCAGATGTACTAATGATGCTATAAGCCATTAGAAGGTCACCTCTAAGACGCCCGTACTCGAATGGGTGAAGGTTCAGTAATTACATTTGTTCTTCATAAGGCTTGGATTTGAGTCTTCGAACTGATTTTGTGGCTCGCTGTTGGATACGCTCCAGAGTGTCCTTATCCTTTTGGAGTGAGGTAGGAAATACTATGTTTTCATGCTCTAAATTGGTATGAATAAAACTATTGAAAGTTATGTGGAAATTTCTAACGTCAAACCATCCAATAATGCGCTTCAGTGGTAAAAGTGCAAGGTTTGTTCGAAAGACAATTTTGTCGCAGTTAGCATGAGACTTCAAATCGTAGAGTACTAGCACTCCTAAATCTTTTTCAGTTTCGGGCACTTCGAGAGAAAAATGTACCAAGTTGTAATTGTAGTTTGCAACATGTCTCAGATGGACTACTTTACACTTTGAAGTGTTGGCGGTAAGTCCGTTGTCTTCTCTCCAACTTTGAAGTCAAGTCAGGTCCTCCTGTAGTCCTAGAATATCCAGTGCATAGCCAGCATATACCTATAGACACGAAACTGGTTATCGTGACAAACAGGAAATGCCCAGAATTTAAGGTCAAGGGAATGGCATATCAACAGTGTTTTCATAATATTTTGAGCATTTAGGGAAAACATCCCGTTTATCTGAATCTGAGAATTCTGTTCACTATGACATTCAAGTTTTGACGTCATAATTCATCCAGTTTCTGTTTCATTGACTTCAAACTGAAGAACATGCTGTTCCTGTATTACGTAAAGTGAGATTATTAAGTCAAATATCACTTTAACAGTTGCAAGCATCGAACTTTCATTGTGGTAGAGTCTTGATCTTATATCTTAACATAACTGCACAATGTTTACTTCAGGCTTTCTAGAGATTGGTAAACTGAGAGATTCCACATTGCACAAACTCGCAGTATCAAGATGTGTAAAACCAATTTTTTGAAAATTACCTAATCATTGGCGATAGATTCTTCTACGTAAGACTGAGTATTTCAGAAAATATAAGCTTTACAGTCAGTAATCAAACTTTACTAGACCACCCCGTTTATTCATTCCCTTAATGTTTTCTTGGTAAGTCTCTGTAATTTTTCTGAGATCCACGCTCTTTTCAAATTGCGAAAATTGAAAACAAAATTCAAACAAACCTCATTACTTATAACTAGTTAATTTTGTGTTCATGTTTACATTGCCAGTTTTGTTGTCAATTGATGTTCTCAAGATTTTGTTTTTTTGAATCTCAACCATCAATTTTTTTCTGACGCACATGTTAAAAAACGACCGCGACCTTGAGCTCGGGGTTTTTGTCACATTAATAAATAAATGACTCTGGATAAAGAAGATAACTTTCAACATGGTCCCCATGCGATTGAGCGTCGTGGAGCATTGCGTCAGAAGAATGTCATCGAGGTCAAGGGTCATAAATTTGTTGCTAAGTTTTTCAAACAATTTACTTTTTGCGGACACTGCAAGGACTTTATTTGGTAATGGTCTTTTTTTCTATATAATTTTTCAGGGGCCTTGGAAAACAAGGAGTCCAGTGTCAAATATGCTGCTTCGCTGCTCATAAGAGATGCTATCAATATGTAGCATTTAAGTGTCCTGGTGCTGATTTAGGTCCTGAATGTGATGTAATTATCTCGTGCTTTTGTCTTATTATTTCAGTCTAAAAGGCGTCATAAATTCAAGCTGCATACTTACTCGAGTCCTACATTTTGTGACCATTGTGGTTCACTGCTATATGGGCTTGTTCAGCAAGGTTTCAAATGTCAAAGTTTGTTGTTTTTTTGTTTGTAATGTTTCAACCAGACTGTGGTATGAATGTACACAAAAGGTGTGAAATGAATGTTCCCCACCTTTGTGGCGTAGATAATACGGAAAGGAGGGGACGAATATTTCTTAAGATTAGCTGGCAAGAAAACAGATTTTTAGTTGAAGGTAGGTCTATGCTTCAATTCATAGCATATGCTGTGAACAGTTACAAAACAATGACGATCTGTACGTAATTATATTTTTTCATTTTTATGTAAATTTTAAAGACCTTTTATCTATTTATCGACTGGATGTTTGCTCATTGACATTTGTTTCTATTTCATAAGCTCCTAGCAACAGGTTTTGATAAGTTAGACCATCAAACCTGCTAGTGTGTTCTAGTCTTAAGCTAGAAAAAATAGCAATCGTTATAACTTTGTTTTCTTTGCTTGTGGAAAAGGCCTTCGCTTAACTGGATTCCATATCTAGTGACAGTGGGTTTCCGATACCTCCACGTAGGAACCTTGGTATTTTAACGATAAAAAAGGTTAATGGAAAATTCTCGCCGTTGCACGGGCCAAAATACACTTCAATTTCACCAGCACAAGGTTCCCTCGATGGGCATTTCTGCCCCACATAGCATTAAATTTTAGATCTTGGAGTACTAAAATTAATTTCTTTCTAACTTGAGATGTCCCTAGAGGGGAGTTACTAAGTTACATGCGTAGGTCGCCTCAATTAATCAGTTGACCCGAGGTGTTCCTGTTGATAAATGTATTAAGCTGTCAGCTCTTCACCTCTGCACACTATGTCTAACGGGTTGTATATTTTCGGAAAAACTAGTAGTTACACTAACTTTCAGACCGTATATGTAGTTAGAAGCTGAACTCATAAACCTGTAGTTTTTTTTCTGGGTAGCACAAACATATTAGGCCAGCGACAAAATTTATCATACATTGGTTTGGGCAGCCCAGTTAATATTATTAGCCTTCACACTGTTTCACTAGCAAGTACTTGGTGAATGCGCTAAGGTTATTACTATTAAAGTTGGCTAAGAATCCTCAAATCAAGTCGCTTTGGTTTGTGGTCAATTGCAGAAGATTGTTTCCTATCAAGCCACATTAATGGCAAATACTTTGTAAATGAAGAATTAAAATCTGAAGATCGTCTTCACTTCCAGCGTTTTATTCTCTTCCTTTTTTATGTTTTCAAATTTCGTATTGACTGATACGCTTCTTTCGTGTCCATTCCGAGGCTCATTTTAAGGTCTATGTGTGCTTACTAAGTGTAGCGAGTGATATTTAACAGTCTATGTATACAGTCTCTGCTTATTAGTACCCACAGTCACCTAACAAAAGCATTTCATGGTTTATTTTCCGTCTATTCATATGAATTTTGTTAGCTTTTGTCTAAAGGACAAGGTTACCTAATTTTTTGATCTTTTGTGTATTTCACTGCATTTCAACGTCTTTATTCTAACTGGTTGAAATTAATAATTTGGCTGTAATAATTATCCGTATATTGGATTACTAACACCATATATTTTATTTTGCCTTGTAATAAGTGATTAATTGTTGGAGCCAACTTTCTTTATAAAGTACTGTTTCAGGTTTTTGACTTAGACGAGATTAATTGTCCATATGTTTTTCGGTTAGGGGAAGTGAACTAAAGGTTGGTCACCATGGGGTCACGTTAATAATCCTTGATTATCGCCAGAATTCATGCAGCCGAGTAACTTCAAGTGGGAGTAAACCTACAAACAATGCATGTTATGACACTATATAGTTTTGCTTAAGGTTACCGAAGGAAGTTGGCTAAACACACACTGTTAGTGTATTTTACATCTGTACTAGATCCGAAGAAGTAAACAAGCAAGTTAAGTGATAAAATAATAATCCTTTATACTTTCAAAATTTAAGAATGTCATCTTGTGTAAAAAATATGTTTGGTTTCCACTTTTTGTTAGAGTCTGTTTTAAATAAGACACTGCTTGATATTTCATTTAGCCTTCCGTGTGTTTTCATGTATCGGAGAGTCAGGTCGCGATAGATCTTACTCGTTTCCCGATTATACCTTCTTTCTGAATGTGGCATTTGGGACTCTGTTGTGGTTATCAATTTAAACTCACTCTTTAGTCATCTGGAGATTCGTTAGCAGTTTGTTATTTTCTTACCGATTCATACATACCATTGCTTTAGAAAGTAAAATAAGTACTCCTGAACTGAATTCTTACTGATAACTGTTTATGCTTCAATCAGGTGGACAATGTAATAAGAATTTGGAGGGAACGTTATATATCATTGTTTCCTCAAAGTAATTTCCAAATGAATGTATTCTGCGTAAGATAAAGGACAAGTTCCATCATAATCTGTGGAAATTTCTTATTGGCTAACTATTACTGTAAAACTCACCATTTTAATAGTTGAATTCATCATTCATGACTAACTGACGAGTTTCACTTTACCTTGACTTAGCATCATTTTATTAGTTTCACCTATCACTATTTTCATTCTGTCACCTTTTTTAGTGAAAGAAGGTAGGAATCTTATTCCGATGGACCCAAATGGTCTTGCTGATCCTTATGTTAAAATCAAATTTGGACCAACCGACGAACTTGGACGTAAATTCAGGACCAAAACAATAAAGTCTAACCTAAACCCTATATGGGATGAAAAGTTCACCATGTAAGTTGTAGATCATTCTACTTTCTCCATAGATAGTTAGGTTTTTGGCTTCATTTATAATTAGTTTATTTAAATTTCAAATAAGCAGACGTTCAAATTTACGCTTTGTTAATTACTTAAATTTATTTAATCGGCGCTTGGCCAGATAGTCAATAAAAGACTGACTCGTTCGATCATGAAATATATATCTAGTATTCAATGAATTTTTAATTTTTACAAGCCCGTTTCATAAATTCATGATGGTCTATTATTGGTTATTTTAAAACATAGTGATCTACGTCCAGACGATGAGTCGAAGCGATTGCATTTTGAAGTTTGGGACTGGGATCGCACGTCACGTGACGATTTCATGGGTGCTTTATCATTTGGAGTTACAGAATTAATTAAAAAGCCAATTGATTGTTGGTTTAAACTACTAAGTCAAGAAGAAGGTGAATACTACTCGATTCCTTGTACGACAGAGAGTAATACTCCGCCCTATGCAGAAATATCTTCTGAATATGAGGTATGCCCTATGATAATTTATTTAGTTTATATATATTATATCGGTGTAATACGAAGTATTGAGTAAGTCTGCGGATATCACAAATAAGTAGAAGTGACTCTCAGTGGCAAGCTCGAAATTCAAATTTAGTGAGTCGATATTTATCTCACTTGAAATCCGAGAAACCGGGTTGTATGCCTAAAAAATTACTGAAATCCATGACTATGAATATAAATGGAATAATTGTAACGATGAGTATAAGCTTTTAGCTATCACAATCCTAGTTAAGGAATTCATCTATTACACAATTGGAGTTTTAAAACAATCTACAATCATCTCTGATCACTAATCAAATCGGACAATTAGAATAAAACGATCTACATATATAAGTAACATATTTGTAATATCCCAATGAATAGAAAAATAAGATTTTCTGATTGGGATATTACAAATATATTATTTATTTATAACAATCTACCCAATGCTCAATTTATTCAAAATTATCAAATCAAGCCTTGGTAATGATACCTAAAAACATGTACAACGATACAACAGTAAAATGTTACAATCATCAATCATAAATCATTTTACAAGTACATTAAAGCATTCCAATATTTATGTATAATTTTGATGATTAATGCTGACAAAGGGCTATATTAGTTTTATTATTAGCGGAAATCGGAGAAGGATTAAATAATGAATAGGCTCATTAAGAATGTTAATCAGGAGCTTAAATAAACATCCTTATACTCTTGAGATTTGAAAATATTTCATCTATCTGTAAATATATAAATATTATCGATGAACTTGGATTGTATCTGCTTGTTAATAGAAATACGGTACGTGTATAATTTTCTCAGTTGATAATCAGTACTACTTTGCTGTAGTTGCCACTACTGACTAGTTTTACATCCCGATACCACCATGCGCAACATAATTTGAGAACTGTGTATTAGTTTAGTGGTAAGTTATAAAATTGAAATTTAAACAATCTTAAACTAAGGTTTTGTTTTATCTTGTGGGCTGTGTGCCCTGTTAATGTATAACGTAACGATACCGCCAATTAGAGAGCAGTGAATTAACCAAATGTGGCTGTGAAGGGGGGTTAGTAACTAATAGACAGGGCATAATTCAAGAATGGTAAATCGTAAAATAATAGTCCATAGGTTAAAATAGAGCTTATAATAAGAGGGGCATGAATATGTGTAGTTTAGTTATTTAACAATTATACGTTAAAAATACACGCATAGTATTGGTCCATAAATGAATCCCAAAAGTTACTATTCATTATGCTTATCGGGACATAACACGTTTATATGTCGTAATTTGGATTATCAATTTGGATACCGTTGTGTATTATCAAATGATGCTATTGTTAAAAGATATGTTGATTATTGATCCATGTAGTCTTTTCCTTGACTAATCAACCCAGTGAATAGTAACTGAATTGTTTAATCTGTAAGGAAACAGAAAAACGTACAACTGAGTTATTGTTAAAGGTTGTATTTAAACAAACGCAGTAAAACAAACTTCAAAGAACTAAGCTATAGAACAAGTAAACCAAATTAGTGTCGTATAGCTTAACTGGGTAAAATTGATCAACAAAAGAGTCTGTCTTAAAATTCTAGACCATGAAAAATATGCTATTCTCTAGTTTTTTAAATGTCGAGTTTTTTCATTGATCAAGCTTTTTATTTTCACAGTATAATTATGAAATGATGATTGTTTAATGTAATTATTTTATTAGATCATCAGATTAATAATTAAGTACTTTTTACTACACACACATACACTTACAAATTCAGAGTTCATAGTTCAAAAGCCGACATTGATAATATATAATAGTCAGTAATCTGCCACACGAATGTCCATCATACATGATTCCATCCCAGTGACTCGACAAGTGTCGTCCTTGATCCGAGACTTAAAAAAATATGAATTTGATTTCATGTTCCGTTGTGGATGGTCACTGTTAAGCTTTCATTAAACTGAAATAAAACGACTATCGAATACCTTCTGGTTTTCAAATGATTTTCAAAATAGTGTTTATTTATGATTAGGATTCCCTTTATAAGTTGAAAGTTTCACCACAGATTACTTCCTGATAATGTGAAATAGTTTCTTATGTCAAGAGATTTAAACCTGATAACAAAAATAAGAAATGACACAGTATCTAATGATCGTTTTTTCTTAATAAACATAAGAAAATTAATTTATGAATCAAGAATTTTTAAGTTCGAAAGTGTAATAATAGCACCAATATTGCAACATGCAAACTCTCTTCGTTCCGCATACCTCGTAGATTCCTACCAGAAATCCGGAGAATTCATTTTAAAGATAAGTCATATCAATGAACACGCAATCTTTTTAGAATTTTTATCATTTTATAACATGATGTTTCACAGTTTTGCCAAGAAATTTACTTTTAAAGTAACTTTCATCAATGGATGAAATTACCTAAATAAGAACTCATATTGTGTTCAAGATAGAACCTTGAGTCCTGAAGTTTGGTCTTTTTTGGAGATACTTTTTAATTGTACAACATCTTAGCTAATATAAATGATCAACTAGCCATTAGGCGTCTGACATACATATGATCTTGGATTTGCTTACCAACTTATGCATTTGTCAGTCAGCCAAACCATCGTGGTACATCGTACATCGGCGGAGAGAGATGAGTGCCGAATTATATAGGTAACAATAATATTAATGCCAATAAAAAATAAATATGGACAGGATATATGTTTCGAGAGCAGAAAATTAATCTACAGAATATATGTCAAATAAATAAAATTATAGCTGAAAAATAATTGCATCTCTTCCACTGAAATCGATTTTGTGCAATGTCGCTATGTTTTCAATTACTGATCACATTGATCGTGCAGATATATATATATAATTTATTTGAACACATAAATATTGGTACAAGGGGGCACCAAATACATATGTGCCACACAATAACAATGAGGCCAGTAGCAGTTATCATTGATTTGTATGAGGGCTGTGATAATTCCCGGTTGCCCAAACCGAATCAGGTAGTTTTCTTAAGGAGCCACACCCGGAGCCTCTTACCTAAAGGTCTGATCCACAAGGCAGTGGAGCGATATCAGGAGATGCGGGCTCATGGTAGCCGGTGACCAACAATAGGTTCATATGCCTTTTTCCCCCTAAGGATCCTGGAGCCCATATACACCATTAGTTTGGAATCAGGGTTTTCAAACTCTCCTAGGTGGATCCTCCATATCCACCAACCCGGTTAAAGCGCCGTACATTCGCTTTTTGTTCTCACAATTTTGTAAATAACACCCCCACTACGAGAAGGCAGTGAGTAGAACTTCCGTGTCAGTGGCTGTATATGCGTGACCATGCGAGAGCATTTCGAAATAGAGCTGACTCCCCACCCTCGACCGTACCAGGGCATTTGAGGGGTCCATATATATATATATATTGTTAGCATTGATAAGTTCAATAGTAAAGAAAACAGTTGTTTACAGAATTAGTTTCTATGTGTTATCATTCTTCCATGTTTTTATCCGCTAAATTTATTTAATTTTGGTCATTTTTATACGAAGGTAAGTTATCCTAGTACAGTTTAAATGACTTAATTTCCTGTAGGGAAAACAAAGAAATATTCTCCCATTTATTCAGCAAATAGGTGAAAATGTTTTTATTTAAAGAAAAGAAACTCATGAACTTATATCGTTGTTTCAATGCTAAAATCATACAGATTTGTAAATGCACTTGTGATGTGAATTTAATATAACAAAAGTGATTTAATGTTTGTTCTATTCAATTGAGTTGTTTTTTTCAATTGATACACTTTGACGAACATGTGTCTAGTAATTTCATATCTGATAGTTTCATACATAAATGTGATCGTTAAGTTAAACAGAATTTTATTGACCACTAACTTATAACGTAGATAATGATGACACTGTATCACTATGTTTTATCTATCTGTTGAATAAATATGTTTCAGAATGTTATTCTGTCTTTCCTTTGTACTTTGAAACTAAATGTATTGAATCTAGTAAGCAAGTTGTTAATATGTTTCATTTGGATTGATTTTAAACTTATATCATCCAATTATTTTAACTCAGTATCTTAAAAAAATGTCATGCTTACCTTGTTCACTAAAGTTTTTGGCGTTGGATTCTGTTTGAGTTGTGTATGAGCGGTTGTTTCCACTGATTCTTAACTGAAACAGCTTAAAAGTTTAAATATTAGACTTTGAAGTATGTAATTCCTTTTTCCTTAAATCGTACTCGATCTATCTTAGTTTGTACAGAGAATTTAGTATCGTTGATTGGCTCACAATTTTAATAAAATTCAACATTCTCCATAACCGTATACTGATAAATAAAAATAATATATTTGTAATATCCCAATGAGTAGAAAATTGGATTTTCTGACGTTTCGTGACTTAGTGTAAGTCACTTCTTCAGAGAATAAATAACCAAATTAAAATTAATCCAAGTTTAAATAGTACAACGGAACAGTGCAAGAATTATTCTTACATTGTTGGAATATTACAAATATATTGTTTTTATTTATAACAATCAACCCAATGCTCAATTTATTCGAAATTATCAAATCAAACCTTGGTAATGACACCTACTATACTGATAAAATTGTGTAAAGTTCTTTCAGTAGTAGAATCATTATTCATTTCTCAAGGACTAATTCTATAATAATTTCATTTGATATACATTTACTTATCAATATTCATTACTTTATTTGATTCACAGAAATATCGTTTAACTGATTACAATTGATTGATCACTGGGTGGTGATCAGAGTCATGCATGTCTTGTCCTTATTAGTGCAGATCGAATGCTATCGATCATGTTGTAATGTGGCCACCAGTCAAGGTGACTCGACACTGCGGGCACTATATATATATATATATATACATATATATATATATATATATATATATATATATATATATATATATATATATATATATATATATATATATTGAGATTAGATAGTGGTTGGAGGTAGTCGACAGGAAACCCTGGACCCGGGTTTCGTGCTACTTGGCACTCGTCAGCAAGGTGTATCTGTAATCTTGAGGGAACTGGTGCTCCCTGAATTTGAAGCTGAGTGACACGAGATCAAATCCGCCAGGGAGCACCAGTTCCCTCAAGATTACAGATACACCTTGCTGACGAGTGCCAAGTAGCACGAAACCCGGGTCCAGGGTTTCCTGTCGATTATCTCCAACCACCATCTAATTGTTTAACTGATTATTTAACTTCATGATTAACTAAACTATTGAATGATCAAGTAAATTTCTTTGATTCAAACAAATTGTGTATTAGAAATTAATTTAAAGTTATCCACTGAAATATTGATACACTACTCATACCCATAATAGTAAAATAAATTGTAACTGTAATCATTGTTTGTCAAAAAAATTCACCTTTTTATATCCATATAAAATAATTCAATCTGTTGATATTATTGTGGTATGTTTTAGTCAAATCTATGTTTCTATTTACATTCAAAATCTACACTTACAGGCTTTATGATTTAGAAATGTTTCTTGATCATATTTTTATGTTTCTTTCTCTTCGGTTTTCAATACACTTAGTATCATACAGTGAAATAAATAGTTGACAACTGAGTATCTTGTATAAATATACTAATCATTCTTTTGAATATGTGCTTATCCATTTCAGTTGACTAATTTAATTCCTTTATTTGAGATCTTGTGTTTAATATATTTTGGAGATTCTCATCATATGCTAAATACATACACATCTATAATACCTTTTAGTATATGAGGTTTATTAATACCTTTTTACAGAACAATTACAAGATCAAATATATGTAATCAAACATTTTTTAAGAAATTCAACACTCATATTTATGTAAAATAAGATATCATCATTACTACAACAGTCAAATTTGTAGATCGATGACCACTGTCAAGTCGAAAGATTTCTGCCTATCATCTCCAACTTCATCTGACACCTGTTCGTTCATTTACTATGAACTTACCCTATTGGTACCAAGATAAATTTCACAAAAAGCGTTATTTCTTTTCTTTAAACTCATGAAATTATGGAGATGGTAGCATGTTTATTCTAAAACGTACTTTTATTGTTATTATGTATAAATTGTTAATATATTATATCCATACAAATTGTTGGAGTCGGTAATTAATAATTAGTAAGCCTTTTTTCTTAATTTCCCTTTTTAAGTTTAACTAACTAGTTTTAATGTACATCTTTCATCTAGTTGTATTTTATCAACTAAGATGTTTCGTTTCTATCCCCTTTTATTTAACATTTGAGAATAAAGTAATTACATTGTGATGAAGACAAAACATTATCTGTACTACTGAAAACAGAAAATCTACTAATAATTTAATGAATACAAGTAGATAAAGAAGGAGAGAGAGAAAAGGGGAAATTTACATAAATTCAGTATTGAAGGTCACATACACTCCTACTTGATCACCTATTCAAGAATAATTTTTATCTTGATCGAAACACTTGTTTTATAATGGTTTTCTGTCCTCGTAGTGTACATTTGTTATCTTACAAGGGATTGAACCCATAGTTTGAAAGTTTTAAAACAATATTTTTATGCTGAAATTCAGTTGACATGTTAGTACTTTTCTACTTTGTCTTTATGTGTGTGTATGGAAATCACTATACTTACTTGACCTATTAACCTGGTAAAGAAACGTTTTTCAAAAATAAAAGTCACTTCATTATAAATTCTAATATAATGAGGAAAACATCTAATTAGAAAATCATTTGTTCATCTGTAAACGCCATATAATATTTAACAAGTTATATAAAGTAAAATTTATAAAATAAACATGCGATCACATAATTACATTGAATTGGATTGGTCAGAGTTAGACATTGACTTCGTTGGTTACCGGCTTAGTGGTTTACAGGTTGTGTTCGTGTCCGAGACCGAAGCTGGGTTCAAATCTCGCGTGCGTGATCGTGAATGCGCACTTCTGAGCAGTCCCATACGAGAAACACACGGTCATCCGATGCTTCCAGGTTTATAATAGTACTCTAACATTGATCGGTTCGTGGTTTCAATCTCCACAACCCCAAACTAAAAGTATCACTTAATTGTTATGTCAGAGATGATAAGCAAAGAAAGGGATGTTTTTACATTGTTAAAACAACTTATTTCAATTATCTTAAAAATAGCTGATCATTATGTAATAAACAAAAAAAGTTGTATTATTTGAAAACGTGATCAACAATCACCAAGAGCTTATGCTGTGTAATAGTTTTGGAATTAATAAAAATTAATAACTTATGGAATACAAGATGAAGAATTTAATGATTAGTAGTGATAATTTATAAAATTTTAAGGAATGCTAAAGCTTCAGGTAGATAAGGGATTAAAAGTAATTCTTCTGTACACGTAGATCGATTTTGAAATAATATATTATTATAGCCTTGGTCGTGCATAAATTCCTCATCCAAACCTTTTATGAACTAGTTCTGACTTTATAGAGGATTTTGTACGCAGACTTGCGTGACGGGGTGTGACCCGAATCGATCATGTGTACGAGAATTGAGCTGTCGATTGATTTGTTTACCCTTTTAGATAAGCATTCAGGGTAGTGCATGGGTATTCGTTCACAGAGTGCGCGTTTTGTATGGCGAATGTAACCTGCCTCACAGAAGCATGTAAACTGGTAGATGCACATTAAGATGGTCCAAAGTGGAGGTTTATCCTTGACATTCACTTCATGAATTCCTGCTAAAGAAAACAGTTCAAAGGGCTGCGGAGTAAAATGTCTTTCACAAGGGTCTGGATAGGCTGTTTTTTAATACCTCAGCCGACGTTTATACCGTAAACGATTATTTTTTATTACTTTCAAAACTTACATAACACAAGCTCTCAATGTTTGTTGATTAACTCGTTAAATGACGCAACATTTTTTACTCAATATTGGAAGCTTTAATTACATTGGAATAACGCCCTTCCGTTTGTAAATGATTATGTTTTTTTCGAGGAGTGTTTCAACTTTCACTTAGTTTTTCCCATAAATTAAGCTTGGAGCGTTTTAGTATGCAAAGTATTGTAGTATTTTTTTAAATGTCATTATTGAGCTCGTGATTTTTTACAAATCGTTTTGACTTTGAAACCTTAAGTTGATAAGATCCAACAATTTCAGTTAAGTATTTTATTTATATCACTGTTCCATGTCACTCGCTCATTAAACATCTTTATATAGACGCAACTAATTTATTTTCCTTCTTCCAATTCTTGTATAGATAAACGAATCTATTTATATTAAATATGATTGGTAACATTGCTCAAAGATTACTAAAACTAGCATTATTAGAATTTGAACGGCTTAAACGTTTCTACTTCTTTTCAAGGGCTTTTTTCCATGAGAAGTGTTTTAATTTTTTATTATATCTTTCAAAATGATCTCTTTTGCTTTCTGGTTTGTGGAACTTTTAAACTTGATAAAATATTTTTCAAATTGACTGTACAGGTAATCTAAATCATACTGTCCACTTGTAAGTTGTTGACAATGCACTGATTTTTTTTCTCATATGGAACGTGAAGCATAAATAAGAAATTGATTCCGTTACCGATTTGCTAGACGATATTACTGCTATTGTCTCAATGGCCCTTGTGTTGTAAACCGGTTCCAGAAATTATTAATCCTCATCCAAAGGATTTAGCATTTCAGAATTAGCGTTCATGAGCAGATGTTTAATACTCATAATAACATCGAAAACAAAAACCTATCTAAGTTAGACCATCATCGAAAATCTGGGAGCACTGGATGGCTGTTTCGTCCTAGAATAGGACTCCTCATTTAGTTCACGACGTCGCATGACCATCTTCGTGGATTGATTAGAATTCGACATTGTCACTGCTAGATGCTGACCCACTAGTCTAGAGATAAAGCATTCTTGCGCGAAACTGAGGGTTCTGGGTTCCATTTCAGAGTACAAAGTTGTGGATGCGCACGTTTAGGAGTCCTGTGCTAGAATGAGACAGCTGTCTAGTGCTTCCACGTTTTTAATGGTGGTTTGATTGATTCATAGTTTCGATGAAATTCAATAAACTTTACAACCTCAGACTAACAGTCATAATAATTGTATTAAATTAATTGGACACTTTAATTCATTTGTCATCAATGATGTATGGTGTTTTTCTCGAGAGGCTACTATAATTATGACTTATGGCAGACCCCGTGTTTGTTTTTCAGTTTTTATGTTTGATTACGATCTATTCGTTTCTCTTTATCTCATTCGGTTTAAACCTAAATTATTTATGCTTCGTTAATAAGCCATCAGTGTGTGTCTTTGAATAAAAATGGTCGTCGTTATACTGTGTGATCTCTTTTCGTAGTTATTTATTACGTAACACCTGTGTAATGCCTTCAGTGTATCTTCCTCACGTTTCCTGTGAAGCACTACTACAAAATATTCTCCGTGGTCACTACAACACGCCTTATTTAGTGGTACGAAATAAACAATTTTGTTATCACATATTTCCGTCAGTATTCTGAGTGTATGGTTTACTAAGGTGGCTGTCAAACAATTAAACCACGTACAAAGGTCAAAATAGTGTTATAAATGATTATAAAGTATTAGGATGAGGAGTTAAAGCTGGAAATAATATTAAGAATTTTCATCCCGAACTAACATCAGCTATAATGTTGAAATACTTTAAATTATATGATATGGGTAAATAAATTTTGCACAAAAATCTAAGTTTATATTAAATTTGTTTGATTCATCATCCATCATTTATAGTCTTGTTGCTGTAATAATAACAATAAATTGCCTAGTTGTTACAAACTTTTCTATTTATATAATAATTAAAGATTTTTATTACTGATTATTTGATTATCTATTACAGTCACAATTCAAAGGAGATATTTACAATGATGATAATGAGAATCTACAAAACTGTCCAACAAAATTACGTGATGTAGTCAGAGCAACAGATTTCAAATTTATCAAAGTATTGGGCAAAGGAAGTTTTGGGAAGGTGATTCTTTTTACTATCAAAGTTATTTTTACATTCTATAATTTTGATAATAATAATAATAAAGTTATTTATGTTATATCATCTTCTGTCATACTTTGGAGATTATATATTTAAAAAGTTCGAGTTTTGATGCTTTTCATTGATTATTGACAGATTTATATACCTCGTTTTGATAAAAATATTTTAGAGCGAAATTTATATTGACACCACCTAGCTACTCTGGGAAAGTCAAATGTTACAAGTTTTTACACTGTAACAAGGTGTCTGAAATGTTGCTATAAGGAGAGGATCAATGATCTTTCAACTTTCAACCATCAGATTAGGAATTTGAGCCCCATTTGACCTACTTCACTCTGTGTAGCTGAATAGTATCATTGGTCATTACACAAACAGTATGGTTCAAAACCAAATACATTTCATGGGGGTTGATGAGTTAGAGCTACATTTTGACATGATTCGGACGATATTTAGCTCAGGTGGATAAATGAGGTGGAATTTTGTTCTCTGAACTGGATGGTTTGATGGTGCAGCTTTCATTATTCTTCTGAACAACACAAACTTCAAGTAGAAGTGAAGTGTTTGAATTTCACACATATGACTCACAGCTTTTCCTATCGACCTCGATCTAGATTGAACAAATATACGACTAAGAATCTAACCAATGGGAGATAAGATCAAAATAAGAAGTTAGACAACGATAAGTTAAAGTTCAACAATAATCATTTAAGTTTGAGGTCTACAGAACAAGCTGTGAGTCATATGTAAGGAATACGAACACTTCACTACTACTTGAAGTTTGTGCTTATGATGTCGTTCAGAAGAACAATGAAAGCTCCACCATCAAACCATTCAGTTCAGAGAACAGAACTCCACCTTCAGCAATGTTTATTTGTGTTAGAGAAATATCATCGTATAATCCAGTGGGAATTAAGCAGATTTTAATTTTTAAACATTAAAATGTAACTTGATATTACTGATGTATCTATTGTATATAGGGTCTGATTTCATTTAGTTTAATTCATACTATATGGTTTACTCTTATTACATGTAAACAATCTCATTTTTCAAACTTTTCGTATATATTTACTTTACATGAGTTAATATTTTCTGTAATATGCGTACTCTTTTTCATAATAATAATCAGCTGTTTTATATATTACTATTCTTTACTAATCCTTAATCCTCAGAATTGTATTAATCTGTTACATATATATCCAGACGTATTTCAAATAATAAGTGTTGGTTAATGTAGATTTCCTCAACTGTGTTTTCTTTTTGTTGGTTTATTATTTAAGTGAAAAAATTTGAATTTATCACTTATCACGAAATTCAGCAATATGTATATATTTACTAAAATAAAATAATAGTATTCTCATTTTATTATCCCTTTCAAGTTAAATAACTCATTCGTATTATATTATACAATAGTGGAAAGAAATGATTTATTTTGTTTTTATTGAGATTAGACTAATTTGAAGAGGATTTTTCATGATTGCAGACTTAAATCAGTTGAAAAATCTCTGGAAACAACAATGTTATTATAAATTGTTTCATTTTAAAATTGAACAGCACACCCATATGGTCAGATGGTGGTTGGAGGTAGTCGACAGAAAACCCTGGACCCAGGTTTCGTGCTACTTAGCACTCGTCAACAAGGTGTACCAGTAATCTTGAGAGAACTGGTGCTCCCTAGCTGATTCGATCCCAAGAAGCACGAAACCCCGGTCCAGGGTTTCCTGTCGACTACCTCCAACCACCATCTAATCTCAATATATAGTACCCGCAGTGTCGAGTCACCTTGACTGGTAGCCACATTACAACATGATCGATATCATTCGATCTGCACTAAATAAGGACTTGACACACATGACATTGATCACCACCTAGTGATCAATCAATTGTGATTACACCCATATGGTATCGTACTATTGATCTGTCACTTTTTTCTGTCATTATCACGATAGTTATCTTAAAATTTTATACTGACTTCATTTGGTCGCAAAGTATCATTTCTTTTGAATAACATACCACATCACATCATTCCAGATATAATTGATTTTAAAGAAGTAAGAAAAGTTAACTGACTAGTCAATAACTTCCAAAAATAAAATACTTTGAATGGTTTAACTTACATTTTGTGGGGTCATGTCTTGTCTTACTCAATAATATTGAAATAAATTATTTTTGATGTTCCTTGCGTAATTAAGCTGTTAGAATTATTTCCTTTGTAATTTAAATAAAATATAAAAATACTTTTAAAATGCGAATGTCTTGAAGATATATATATCAGTTCCTCTTCATAGCTCTTCGTTAACACAATTCTTTCTTATTGAAAAATGTTTGTCCCCTATTACTGATATCCATCTTGATAATATCATCTCTAATCGTTCTAATGTAGTGTCGCAATTTGGACTAATGTACATATATATCAGGCTCTATGTATTTTATGACTAACTGACTGATTAATATTTCTCATGCGAAGATATTGAACAGGTAAAATGATAATGCGATACATTTGTTTGCGTTTTTTATAGGTAATGTTAGCTGAACGTAAAGATACAGATGAACTTTATGCTGTGAAAATCTTGAAAAAAGATGTTGTTCTACAAGATGATGATGTAGACTGTGCGATGATTGAACGTCGAGTGTTAGCATTACAACGTAAACCACCATTTCTTGTTCAATTACATTCTACATTTCAAACTATGGTATGTTTTGTTTCAAAGTATAATATTCATAGATGCTAACTGTTGTTATTGTTCGAATTTTATTGAAAAGTATCTTTCATTGCGATGTAAAGTGACTGCTAAATGATTGGCTTTTGAAGTGTACTTTAGTTTAGAGAACCGATTCGTATTATTCTATAGCACTGAAAAAAGAATTCGTGAACGTGTACTCAACAAGTAAATTATATTCTGTCACATTTTAAGACGTCACATTATTCTATGTTTTATCTGTGTTTTTTATTAATAATGAGACCGCAAATCAATCCAAATCAGACAACCATTGAAAGAACTGGGCTGCTGTTTCGTCCCAGTATGTAACTCCTCAACCATGCTCATGCACGACCTCATCTGGGATTGAGTGCAGGATTTCCAGGCCTCATAGACCACTGAGCTGGTATCCAATACTAAGACAAAACAACTTTCTAATGCTTTGTTCTTTCGATGATTTTACATCTTAAATCAGTTCATGATCTCAATTATATATATATATATATATATATATATATATATATATATATATATATATATATATATATATATATATATATATATATATATATATATATTTCAGTTAGATCTTTATCAGACTTTACTCCAATACTGCGTAGTATTTTCATGGATATATGATAAATATGGTATTAATCAAGGCAGTTTTTATGTGAGCAATAACAACAAGATCGATTACATAATGATACACAATAAGTTATTAGCACAAATTGTTAATGAGTTAACAAGTGTTATAGTAGTGATAAAAATATTAAAGGCTTGAATTAGTTTTTCAAAATAGGAAGTAGGTCAAAACTTGAAATAGTGAAAAATATTTACCAGAAAATAGTGCTGAATAAACAAACGCTGATGTGATCAGACTTTTAAAATTGATTATTTTCCGGTCTTTTCATTTTTATTGCACCTATCATCTTATGATTAGTAATATAAATAATAATACCACTTAATTATTTAGTTGAGTTAGATTTTTCGATATTATTTACTACAGAACTATTGTTTAGAAAGAATATCTATTGTGTAAATGTAAACTAATACACGGCAAAAAAAGGATAACCATAAGGATTTCTATTTTGTTATCGTTAACCTTATTTTCACATCTAGTATTTGTTTGTAATTTTCCGCCTCTTTCTGTTTGTATTCTTCACTATCTAATTATTTACACACTTCTTATTACGTAATGATTTTAATGTTTCGTGATGACTATTCCAAGTCTATTTACCCACGTTTGACCTTCTATTCCCAACTTTAAACTATTGATAAGACTTTTGTTATCGTATTTTATTATTCTTACTACTATCAGTACACCTGTCTTCCTATTATTAATTTGTATTTTTACCTATTATGTGTAGAGACTTATTCTATGTCATAGTGATTATTGACCCATATTGCCTTGATTGGTTTAAAATGTTCGTATAAATATTCATGTATATTAGAGTAAAGCCTGATGACGATCTAATTGAAAACAATATTGTTCGTTTATATGTGTTGTTCTAAATTCTTATTTGTTTCATTATTACTTATTGAAATTTTGTTAAACTTCACACAGTAATAATAGTATGTACATAAATTTGAAATGGTTTTGTTCATATGATTTTCATATCTCTGTTGATAACATTTGACTGTTGCATTATATGTTATTCTTTTCGAAATGTGACATTTGTTACTTGGATAGAAAAAAGAATAGTGAAACTCGAGTAACTATCTTCAAACAAATCAGTTGTTGTCTTAGGACAATTTTATATAGCTCTGATTATAAGCTTTTTTTCTCTCATTCTGTAGTTATTGTTATCTCTTCTTACTTATAGGTTACGATTAATTTTCTAATAGACTTATTGTTCAGTTTCATATCAAACGTGTTTAAGTTATAGTACTTATTTGTAATTCACTAATCTTTGTGTATTATGGTCTGATATTTTATATATTTAAGCATATGAGTTGTAGGTATAGGAAAAATAAAAATATGAGTGGTACCTGGATAACTTTTTATAACTTTCTAATTGGTTGATTAGGAACGGTCAGATTTTGCATGAGAATATATTTCGTTTAATATTTGGAGTAACTGCTTTAGTGTACTATCAGAACTCCATAAACCTAACGAGTTGTTTATACGAATATTCGTCAATATTAGAACGAATAGCTTGACAGAAAGTGAAAAAAACTTTTCACATATAACGTCACACGAGTTATCATTTGTAATATGCAGGAAGTCATAGTAGGTCAATGGGCTCTAATAAGCAAGTGGATTACTTCCATAACTAAGATCACCCCCCACCATAAGTTCAATATCTTAGTCAGTACAATTATCTAAAAAAACACTATCTATATGGATTATTCGTTTAGCAAATACAGCTTGTCATACAACCTGTTTCCCTCCTTCTGCGTAATTCTGTCGATTAAAGATTAAGGATGGGCTATACGTACCATTTTTATTCCATTTGAATTGATTCACTTCAGATAGAAGAAAACGCGTAGTATTTGAGAACTCATATTATTCAGTAATATTCTTTGTCAATGTATCGAACAAAGTAAACAACCATCAAATATGTAAAGGAAATTTCAAGTTCATATCAATCAACAATTGATTTTACACTTGATTGTAAAACTTTTGATTTCCATATGTTTACAAGGTCAATAATTATAATCTTTTATCACGTTTATTCGTCAAATTATTTTCACTATTAAAATGTTTCGTAGTTATTTAAATAATAATAATGTGTAAACTGTTTTGACTAAGAAAATAAATCGTTGTAGAAAGTGTTGTTATGGTTACCATATTCTTTTGTTCATTGATATTTATATATATACGTACACTAAACTGGCAAGATTTCTTTTCTTGTATTATTGAAACTACCAGGTCATATGATTACGGTCATTCTGACTTTTCCTCTCTACAGTCAGCTCAATAAATCTACTTTGTAATTAGATTGACAAAGTAGGCAATAGATGGCGAAACTATTATTATTATTATTATTATTATTATTATTATTACATCAAGGCATATATATATATATATATATATATATATATATATATATATATAAATCCCTTTCTAACCATATATTCAAAAGTGTAATATGTATTAATCATTAAATAATACTAACTGGAAAAGTATTGAGGAAATAAAGGCACGTTGAACATCTGTCTCCTTTAAGTTTCAGACTTTTTAGAACTGATTTACTATAGACATATATTGATCTCAGATCAGAATGTCTAAGTCTTACTGCAAACAATATGCGTTTAGATCATTGAGTCAGGATACAGCGTTCCATGTTTTAAAATTCAGGGAATATATATATGTTAGCTTTATTTTCAGCCAATTTTATCAATGAGATTACTGTCCTACTTTTGATTCCATTAATTAAATAGGTCAATAAGCATCTCATTAGAATTTCAGTAAGATTAATTACAAACCAAGTCTTTACTAGGTAAATAATTCTAATACAATATTAAATAACAGAAAAATGTCTAATATACAACGATAATGATATTTTTCTTCATTTATATATGATCATGGCTTTTTAGAAAAATTAACTACTCAATTATTCATACTTATGTAAGCCCATGTCGACTGTCAAATTCTAGAATGAAATAAAACGATTTATTAAAGTTTGATAATGTTTTGAATTGAACAGACTCTTGACTCCACACAAACACAAAATACGATTGCTTTCAGATCTAGTACTGTTGCGAAACATTATGGAATTTTGAGAAGTAATATATATAGATGCATTGTGTAAACATCTTTCAATGCCATAGCTTCTTAAAGCCAATGGCTTATCTTAACAACTGTAGGTTCTTTGTTTGATCCTCATTGGAGTCACAGATTTTCACTACTAAGAAGTTTCATACTAGAATAAAGCAGTTACTCTCTGCTTTCTAATTTTCAATAGTTATCTAATCATGATCTGGCTATGATGTAAACCGTGACATTGAGCAATTTCCAAAATGCTCTCTGTAGTAATAAAACAAGTAATTATCAATATAAACAAAGAATAAATAACAGAACCAAGCATTCTTGATCCTGTCTACTCATCATATTAACAAACCTTAAATTATTTTCAATAGTTATGCTTTTATTAAACAAACTCAAAACAGTTACTTTGTCGTTGATAATTTCTCTTGATAAATTAAAATCAACGCATAACATAAATAAGAAAATATTGAATATGATCAGCAACAGAAAATAAAACCGACAGCAACAATAATAATGAGAAGAGATTTCAACAACCACAAAATTCACATCCGTTACTATTGGTTTCCTGATGAGCTATTTCAAAATAACGGAAGTATTAAATTATGTGTTTGTTTCCGTAGTGATTGCCGTCATTGTTCTCAGAAATAATAATGATAATAATAATAGTTTATTTTTGAATACGAAAAAGAAGTCTGAAGTAATAAAATCAACAAACAAATGAATATAAGGATCTAACTACTTTAAAATAATCAAAGTTTCTTTTCTTTAACTTTTTTTTGGTTTCCGTTGCTTCTCTGTAAGAAATATTTATTCACTGGACTATGAAGATAAAACAACCATTGAATAATTGAACTAGCTAATTAGATTTTAAAAACATACATTTATGTATAATTGAAGGTTTGTTGGATAGAAGTAGATGAATGTTCTTCTCCTCAATGATAATGAAAGAAAGAAAGAGAGCACATACTCAAACACAAACACACACTAGAACATTTTCTTCATGAAATATATGAAATTCCAGGTAAAGTGAGAAAAGAAAAAACAACTCACAGAAAACACTGTTAATTACTTGTGTTTATCCTCATCATAAGTAGTAATTTGTTTGTGAAAGGAATTAGATAACTTTGAAAATATCATTGTGAAATTCAATTATGTTTTTTTCCTCTGAAATGTTCATTCATCAATTTGTAATTTGTTTTACAACAATAATATCTGTTTGATCTAAGAAGGGGTGGTTTTTTATTCTATGAAGTTGTTTTCTTGTAACATTGTAAATTTTTATTTCTTTTCATGTTACTATGAGTTGATGAAACTTCAGAATTTTTTTTACGTTTTAAGCAGATTATATTATTTAGTTTTTTTAATAATAATATCCGTATTGATCGGATATTGCGGTGGGGGAATATGATTATGGAATATAATGAAATACATTATTTAATTCCTTTTAATTGGTGAAAATAAACATTTTCCTGAGTTATAAGTATGTATGCCTGAATAATTTATTAATGATTTTTTGCTTGATAGTCGACGATTGTTTAGACTAAGGCTTATTAAATAACAACAGTATTAACATTTCAACAAGATAAGGTATATTATTATTGACCATAATATTCAGTTGTTATTTATAATCGATGGAATGTGGCTGACAATATGGTTTGGTTTGTATTGTCCAACCTTTTTGGAACTCATCAGGTAGATGTACCTACATTCCGGTGTTGATGTTCATATTGAGACTGAAACACAGTATCTTTTGCTCAATGTGTCATCTACTAATCTACTGTGTCCAAATGGCCGTTATCTAGATATTCAAGTTAAATTATCACTGTACTTCATGATCAGCATTATGCATGAATTTTCTAAATTCTGCAATACAATTAAAATGTAAGACGTGTCAGTCATATCCAATACTCATTTATTTTATTAAAATCACCGACCGATTTAAATAGGGTGATTATTGGGAAACTGGAAGCACTTGACGAACGTTTCGTCATAATTTGAACTTCTCGACGGTGTCCATTCATGACCTTACGGGGGATGAAATTTAGTTCGACTATGTTTAGTGTAAGAAAGATATTTACCGATGATATTGATAATCCGTGGGTTGATTGAAGTTAAACTTGTGCAGAATGGGGTCCCAACTTAGTGTTCTAGATGTTAAGCGTTCTTACGCTAGACCGATAAACCTGAGTCTGATTTCTGGTCTCGGTGTCATGGACTCACACTTCTGAGTAGCCCTACACGAGGACGAAATAGCTGTCGAGTGCTTCTAAGCTTCCGATAGTATTCTAACAACGGTCAGTTTGTGATTTCACTGAAATCCAACAATCTGTACAACCTCATACTGACAACCGTCCATTTGTTAATTATAACCCGACCAAAACCATCCAACTCAGAGAACAAAACTCCACCAAATTCATGAACTGTTTTCATGTAGTCGCACTATCTCCGTTTCATAGGTTGGTAACGATCATTAAATTCCCTCTAGAAAAAAAGGATGATAGTTTTAAATTCTAATATGATGTAGACATATACACTTGATTATTGAACAATTTATCAGATAATATTGATAAAGCTGTTTGCTTTAGTAATTAATCATAAATAATAGTCGTTTTTCTTACTGTTACTTTCTTTTTACAAGGATCGATTATATTTTGTGATGGAATTTGTCAATGGTGGTGATCTAATGTTTAGAATACAAAAGGAAGGAAAATTTAAGGAACCTATTGCTGTGTAAGTCTACTTATATATATTCACTTTTGATCTAATTTTATCCGATTGATACAATCACTTATGAAGATTTCTTTTGTAATTCTAAATTGAAAAGTGTTTGAGTAATTCATGGTTTTTAACTTATTGATGGATTATGATTAACTGTGTAATAGTAACAATAACTATTATTGTTACTGATGGCTTTATTCAGGGGGAACATGTCATTTTATCTGGGACCTGTTAACTCGATACATCTCACTGGTGTTTATTCTTTCAATGATATTGAAATCCAGTCCTTTTCGCTTCAAATGCTTCATTCGTTATCCACTGATGTATTGAGTCCAAATGGAAAATGATTTGTTAACATTACATTATTATTAGGAAGTGTTAGAATTATCTCGTTGATGTTCAGTGCTGAAGGTATTTTATCACAGGCTTCTATCATCTAGATTGTTGTTAGTAGTTGTTTTCTGTACTGTACCCTTTTTTCTTGCTAATCCTAGGCATTTCTGGTTCCGAAACAGTTACATCTAAAACTAATTCACGTATTATGTTTTTGGTCTTTCCAAAATCCTTTTTCTTGAGTCAATCATGCTACCAAGATATTCACTCCTACAAGAATTTTTCATACTTCCTCTAAAAACCTATTTTGCTTTTTTCAGTTAACAAGTTGTTGTAAATAACATGTAATCAAATATTTTTAACGAACGTGCAACATATTCAATCAAACAGTTTTTCTTGACTTATAAGCAGCACTTGACTCTGGCAGTGTCTGCCATTGAAAGTCGTACCTCACAAGTACACAAACCTTGTGAAGGCTCTTTACTCGAACACTACCAGTCGAGTCAAATTTTATGGAGAACTGTCATCTGATTTTGAAACGTCAACTTGTGTCCGCCAACGTGCTGTCCACTAATGATATAGCTCTTGTTCAAGATTACATACATTTGTCACTATCCTAAATAGACTAAAAATATGCAATTTGCTTGATTAAATATCCGTTCCTAGAATTACTAAATTCTGCTTGTTTGAAAATTTTCGCATTTTCTCACCAAATATCTCCACATTATTACTCACTTTAAATACATTCCAAACTACTTATATCTCGTTTTGACTTACTGACTAGGTCAATGGATAATAAATCAGTATGAGCAGCCCAGAGTCGATTCTGAGCCTTTACTGGTCCACCGAGATATTTGCTTCTCTTCTAACTCATCCGGTTTAGTCCAGAACATCAATATCAGGATTCAATAAACGACATACTGGGTTTATATACAAACAAACCAGACAGCAACATACCATAAACTAATAAATAACAATCATACAACATCAAATCAAAAGTGGCTGCGGTTTTGAGAGACTGTAACCAATAAACTGGTAATGTCTCAAGAATAGTAAATCGTATGTTAATATTTAATAAGTCAAATAGAAGCTCATAATAAAAGGAATGCGAATATGCATATAATATAGTTACTTTTTAGTTATACAATAAGTATATATATAATAAAAGTCCATAAATAGATCCTAGCGGTTACTACTCACATATTCTTCATCTGAATATAACAATGATGATTACCTGGTTTTCTTTGTATCCATCTTATCAACTATATAAATATTAATTTTACAAATAACACTAAACATTAATACTCAATTGTTTCATTTGAAACTTAATCCTTGGTTAATTTTATTTGTTGATAGTATTAGTCACTGAGTAATAACTTCAACCAAATCTTTGCGGATACCTCGTACTAAAATGAAATATCTGTTCATTAGTTGTTCATATTAAGTCTATGACGATTACCACCACATTTTTTGCCTTAACATTTTTAACGAGTTCTTAAGATTGACAAAGGTAATAATCGGTGGTAATGTGATCCGTATCGGTATGTAGAGCTGTTTGAGTTTAATCTCAGCAAGTATCATAATATATTTTTAAACAGTCACGGGACCTGATTTTGATCGCGGTGGCATGGTTGACGTTTAGATTTCTATTGTTCTCGAACTACTTATTTTGCTTAATTCTATTGTCATTGACAATATTTTTATTTTTAGTCGCCTTCCTCATCTCCACTGAACAAATTCACATTTTTTCAGGTACTGTAAGTTTCATGACATCTGAACTGACAACAAGTTGTATATCAAAAAGTATTAGCTTACAGAATTAACTACTTACATTTACATTTTCTTCTTTAAACAAACAATTTATTGAAAATTACTCTGAGATTCAAAATAAATCACTTATTTCATCATACTTGTCCCCTCAAGTTAAAATTTAAAAAAAGCTTAATTGTTTAACTGATTTTGTTGAGATTTTTTAAATAGTGTGTAAAGTGATCTTCGCTACATATTCTTGCGGTGACCCAGAAAATTTCTCGCAAAAGTCAAGCAAGAATCAGGAAACACTAAGAAGCGTTTCCTTCAATCAACGAAGTTTTAGCCAGAAATATCAAGGGGGCGAAACGTCACATGCAGAGGTTCTGATTGGCTAATTACCACACTGCTACTATGCTTAGTAGCATTCCAGAACCTTCTAGCAATCCAATAACATTTAAAATATTATAAAAACCCTGTATTTTCTGCATTGAACTGAACCTTGGAGTAAGGTACTTCTCGCATACTTTGCGTTTTCTCTCTCGTTGTTCAGGTTGCTGTATAGTTTTAGCTGGGGGGTTACAGAATAGATTAGGAAACGAATATAGCGTTCAATTTGCAAGGCTTATCACATATACATAGAAGTTACTCACAGAAAAATCATCATTCACATCTACTTACTACAACTTGATTATTTTGAACTAGATGAATTGTGAATGCTCAATTGTGTATGAACACTCATGACACAATATACAAGTATCAGTCGTAGAACATTTTATTTTTACAAGAGATATAATATCATTAGATTATTGAATTACATGTGTAATATGGCTATGTTTCTTGTATTTGATATTGCAATCCACGAATTTATTTATTCAAAAGAATTTTATCATTAAACCAGCTTTTTTTAAATAATAAATTTCACTAGAATTACTCATATACAAATCATCTTTAGATGATGGTTGGAGGTAGTCGACAGGAAACCCTGGACCCAGGTTTCGTGCTACTTGGCACTCGTCAGCAAGGTGAACCTGTAATCTTGAGGAAACTGGTGCTCCCTGGCGGATTCGATCTCGTGTCACCCAGCTTCACAGTCAGAGACATTACCACTGAGCTATCCGCGCCGCGACCGACCTCCTGTAGGACTGAGATGAAATCACAATTGGTTGACCACTGGGTACACTTTGCTGAAGAGTGCCAAGCAGCACGAAACCCGCTTCCAGGGTTTCCTGTTGACTACCTCCAACCACCATCTAATCTCAATATATAGTGCCCGCAGTGTCGTGTCACCTAGACTGGTGGCCACATTGCAACATGGTCGATAGCATTCGATCTGCACTAATAAGGACCAGACACGCATGACATTGTTCGCCACCCAGTGATCAATCCATTGTGACAAATCATCTTTACATAACTATAAACATTTCTAGTGTAGTAATAATAATATTTTAGGTTAAAATATCATTATCATGAATAATATCGAAGTATTAAAGTTTTATGAAAATGGATATAATTGAAAACAAAATAATCTTAATTAGTAAATGTGAACACGTTACCTTATAGAGAGGTCATAGAATAATAATGTTACTAAAGTAATAAAATAAGAAAATAGTTAATCAAACCAGAAAATCTCATATCATTTCAAGGAAAAAAAGACTAGTTCATCTTTTTTTGTGTGTATGTTAATTGTAAACTTATTTGAAACAGATTGGTTATAGTTTTTGTTATTCCATATTAAAATAATTAACATTGATGATAAATTACTGAATGTTATGTGGAATCTAAGTAATAAGAAAGTGTAAAATAGTTTAATTGTCTTTTTTCTCTCTCACAGTTAATAGCAAGAAAAAAAATGTTTTCTTGTTTCCTTTATTTGATTTCAATTCATAAGATTTCAATAGAAAATATAGACATGAATTTCATGCTCATCTAGCTTGACGACTTATTTTAGTGATGCTTTTTTGTTTAGGAAATTTTTTTGATTGAGATAATGAACCGATTGATGTTAGACCACCGTTGGAAATCTGGAAACGCTGGACGGCTGTTTCGTCCTATTGTGGGACTGCTCAGCAGTGCGCATCCACGGTACCGCTTGCGGGATTCGAACCCAGGCTCTTCAGTGTCGCGCGTGAACACTTAACCTACTGGACCACTGAGCCGCTATCCGATGGTATTAGTGTCTAACATCAACCAATCCACAAAATTGCGCGACCATATTCGATTGTTCTGAGGTAGATACCTGTCTCTACCCGACATGGATTGCCTACACTGGTCACGGCTTCTCACTAGAACTCCGAGAATTCCCTCACGAAGCTAGTCACTAGTGAGCATATGTTAATTATCAGTATAGGGGTTGTGGGGATTATTAAGTTCTATATTGAACTGTTTAGGAAATGCTTAACAGCTATTTAAATAAATTATATAAATGTTTTATACCTGTTTATTCGGTAACCTACATTTATTAATTTATGGAATACAAATATTTGTACTCAATTTCCGACGATACTTATTTTGAATTTTGGTCAGTTATTTATAAGCATGCAAAATCTGGCAAGTTTACAATAGTTTAAGTTAACACAGTCAGATAAAACTATCAATACAAATTTTACAGTGGTAAAAATAATAATGCTATCAGTGGTAGTAAAAAGGAGTGAGCTAAGACTAAATTGTTCATGTGGAAAAAATTAATTTACGGAATAGAAAGTGTAAGATGAATGAAAGATCTAGGCGAAGACAAAGTGAATACATCCGTACTATTTTAAACAATATTCTGATTATTCTCACTGAACATATTACATCACTAAATCCTGTTATTCCTGGGTATTCTATGTCTAGGAACTCATCTCCATTCAGTAGTCAGCTGCTCCAGAGACTGATGCTACATCTTGGCTCAGCCTGCTTTAGGGTACATCCAGACTACCGGTACACCAATCAACATTACGTTTAGGTACCCAGTTGTTGGACATACTTAATAGATGTTCCAACCGCCTCGGTCGGTGAAGATTTACCACATCATCAACCGGTTTGCTGCCTTTCCCTAGTACATTTTGTTGGTTGTTGCACGTGAGCAATGCTTCGAGTGCATTTATGATCATATTTCAGTCAACTATCAGTATTTTCTATTTCTAAGTGTTACGTTTCACAGTCATTAAGTAGAACGAAACGAACTGCTATCTAATCTGCTCACCCTTTACACGACGGATAGTTATATCGTCTACGCCATATGTTTTCTACAATAACCAAAAGCCAACCAAGGTTTTTAAATTTTTACCAAGAATTAGTGATCTTCAATTCGTAGACATCGATAATGGGTAGGATGTGGTTTAATTTATCATCTAGGGGTTCGAATTCATCAACCAATAGACAGATCAACTTTGCACATTCATATTTATTTGTATTTCATTGCGTCTTTTGATTCCTTGTTAAATATTTCAGATTTTACGCAGCTGAAGTAGCCGTTGGTTTATTTTTTTTACATGATAAAGGAATTATTTATCGGTAAGTTAAAAACCATTATTATAATATAATATCTAAGGTATAAGAAATGTCATTTTTAAGCTTGTTTCACACTATTGTTTGTTTGAGATATATTATACTTTTCTCTCGAAATAAATGTAACATCACTGTCATTGTGAACTGTTTCCAATAACTGTTATATTTGATTAAAATAAATATCCTTGGGTTTTCGTTTTTTGAATTGTCTAATTATCATAATACGTTGTAGTTTTTAGTTGCTCACTCAGAAGAATATCTATGGATCGACTGGTAAAACTAGAAGTTTAAAGGCAAAGAACTCTAAAAAGTGCTTGAGAAGCTGTAAATCTGATCAGTTATCTCTTTTTTATCTTAAGAAAATATGTTCTTTCATACGTTGATATACTTGTAACTGATAAATAATAAAATACGGTTATAGACAGAATTTCTGATGTTGTTCAGAATTTCAAAACAAATCATCACTCTTCCTCAACACATCTAAGTATCTACTCGTAACATTTTGTGATAATATATACGAATTAGCGTATGTGCTTCTTTTAAAAATTATTCTGTACGTTAAACTAATCGTTATAAACACATTCAATGTAGTAAATAACCGCCTCATGGCAGGGAACAATATGTTTATCCATTTCTGCATGAATCGATAAATGTAAACATATAAACAAGAAAATGAGAATATGTTCTATCAATCGAGAATACTGATCCGTTACTTCAGAAATACTGTACATTTATCTAGACACTAAACACTGTTATTTCTCACTTTCCACTTTCATTCATCTGTTTGTAATTGGGACACAATGTATCACTGAATCTTCTGTTATTTATTAGTCAGTCAGTCAGTCAGCTACAACGTAGGACCAGGCACATATGTTATTTATTATTATCAACCTGTAAATATTCATGTCAAAATATGTTTACTAATTTCATCATAGCTTTTTGATAGTGACCAGGAGTGAAATCCGCTACACGCTTTTGAATCACGAAGTGATTCTAACTAGATCACCTTCGGGAACCTTGAAAGATTGGATGGCTGTTTCGTCCTATTCGGAGAATTCTCAGTTCGTATTTGAAATCATAAAGATTCTACTATATTCACGATTTCCCCTATACTAATTTCAGTCATGCGCTCTATAGTGACTAGTGATAAATAATTGTCCAGTTAAACCAGTTTTCTCTTTATTATTGCTTTTGTTGACTCTAATTAACGAAATCTATTTTTTGAATTTTACATGATTTTCTTTTTCTCTCGTATTTCATAATGTGTTTGTTGTTACAGGGATTTAAAATTGGATAATTTACTTCTCGATGCCGATGGACATATTAAAATAGCTGATTTTGGTATGTGTAAAGACGGTATTACAGGTGACGCTACAACACATACATTTTGTGGTACACCAGATTATATTGCACCTGAAGTATGTTGTATTATTTTATTTTTTAAAATGTTTACGCTTCATATAAACCGTGTGAAATATGAGAATGTTTGTTAGTTGAATGAAAACTGATATTTTCTATATTAAAACACAATTGCATGAACGAAGAATATTCTTTTCAATAATTTCCCATCAGGTTCTACAATTATCTCATATTCAAATTAATAATCCATAAAATTGGCCAAATTTAAGGCAGAGTACATTATTTGGAAATTGTAATATGTGAATTAAGAATTGTTGTTTGTTATATAAAATCAAATCAGATCGTTAATGTTGGGGCTGAGTAATATAAAGACCATCTACTTCAGACAGGACATACAGCCAACATGGAGCAATTTTTTGCAATAATCTATCGTGTTAACAGCAGTCTGCCTATTTCCCTCAGAATGCGAATCCTACAGACGGCTGAAGCAATTATTATTCGGATGAAATAGCCAGAGCTTTGTATCCAAAAGAAATATGTTCAGCCACTCCTTTTAACCTGCCCATCTAGTGAATAACCAATTTTATAATATGGTGACGTAATTTGATTAATGTTCATTTTGTCCCAAACTTATTATTATTATTATTATTATTATTATTATTACTGTTATCTTTACCACTGTGATTATCATCTTTATCATTGTTATTATTATTATCATTACACTTGACAGCCTTTTTGAGGAATTCATTCAATATCCAACCTTAAATCTACTATATTTGACCCAATTCATATTATTCTACATATTACGTAATTCCCGATTTTTATTGCATTATTTTCTTTCTCACCCCATGTTGACCATATTTATTCTGATCATTTATCGCACAATTTCATTTCGTTTATAAACTGATTCAAGTTAACACTTGGTGTTAGTCAGCCCCAACATTAACGATCTGATTTGATTTTATATAACAAACAATAATTCTTAATTCACATATTACAATTTCCAAATAATGTACTCTGCCTTAAATCTGGCCAATTTTATGGATTATTAATTTGGATATGAGATCATTGTAGAACCTAATGAGAAATTATTGAAAAGAATATTCTCCATTCATGCAATTGTGTTTTAATATAATGCGAATTTTTCAGTGATTTTTTATATTCTTTTATTTAATTGTCCGCCCGAATGATAACTGAATAATAGTGAATGGATTTCTTGTGTATTTTACATCAATCTATTACAAATTATCCTTTTAATTAACATGTTCTACTTTGAAATTATTCATTAGTCAACTTAGTTTTGATCTAATAATCAAATGTAATGTGTATTTTGAGTGATTACAAATTGTTTCGATCATATGTGTATTCATTTATACGATAGTAAATGTTTGGAATGATCATTTGTTTACACAAAAGGAAACTATTGAAATTCTAAAAATAAATGTTTTGTTCTTTTGTAGGAAAAACAAATATACTGCCATTAATGCATTATTGTTTTCGCTATTACACTAGAATTATTTAACAATATTTACTATAAACAGAATATGTAACAATGAGAATTTATTTTCCTCGATTTTGTTTTACTTAATGACATTTTATTTTTCAGATAAGTAATTTTGTTAAAAATAGTTTGTTTAATGTAGAGATTGTTTTCATAAATGAAACAAAATCGACTAAAGGATAATTTGAAAACCCACAAATTTTACTTAACGATTTTTCGTCCTGGTTTGAATTTTTTCAGTTCATTTAATTAGATTTGGTCAGTAAATTAACTGAATTGTTTTTAAAAGCATGAGAGAGGTTGTCACTCCCTAGTTTACCAAGTTGTTCAAGAATGGTTTTGTTTTCTTGAGAGCATTGGAAAAGAAACTATCTAGGTGTGGTCGTGATGACCTGGGAGTGTGACTAAAGAGTCCAATAGATGATGGCTTAAGGCTAGTTACTCATGACCTTTTAGTGACTAGGTTTGTTTGTATTTGTATTGTACTTTACCACTAATGCTGAGAATCTGTGGTGAAAAGTGAAGTATTTCAATTTACGAGTCTCCTTTTTTTATCATTCACTTTCGTTTATGAGAAAGCATGATCGCTGTAAATGCTGACCCATTGTGGGAACAATTTTCCTGTCATCAAACCTTTATGTGTTTATCATTATAAATTCAACCTCGGACTGTATGTTCGGGGCTTTTATTCTTGCCACTCCCTCCAATCGACCTGTTAGGGATAGTACGACTTGAAAAACAACTGTTCCAGTTTGCATAACTCAAATGCACCATCATAATCTGCTAAACTGACTGCCATGTCAAGGTAGAAACCAAGGTTGAGTTGTATTTGATATGCATAAACTACCCTGACATGTAATCTTGCCCATAGTATAGTAAAATTGAAACAAAGGTAGATTTCAATTTTGATGCAAATTACCTTGAATGTTTGCTATCCGAAGTGTTCAAAAGCAAGTTCTAAGGATCCGTAATGTATTATAGCTCACAACAGATAACAGTGTCTCATAAACGCTCAACTTTCTTTTCGTATATCTGCAATATTTTCTTACGCACCACTTACTTTCAAATTTTTTATATAAACCTACTATTCTTTCTAGTGCACTTTCATTTTGATTCATTTTTCTTCATGTCATTTCGCAAAGTTTGGCGGTATGATCCTATTCAGTTTTTTGTGTGAGATCCTATGATATAACTCTGCCTGCTTTTCATTCGGTATTATCATTTTCCGTTTAATATTATGAGAACGTTAACATAGTACCGTAAACGCCAATTTTGATAAAGATCGCTTCAAATACCAGCAAATGAATCATTTTCAAGGTGATTCGCAAACTAGAAAAAGAGTTTTCTGTAATGTTGGATGTTGACTCCAAGATTTTCAAAAATTAACTGAAGCGAAAATACATGGCCTATTACATTCCAATTCAATAATCAAATGTTACGCTACCTTTTTTAAACCTAAAGGTCCTTTGTTTAATTCTGTCTAGAATGATGTAAATTTCCACTAATCAGATATTCTGAACTTGGGTAAATCAACTTTTTATTGATTTCCCGTGGCTATCTAGGTCAGATTAATTGATGTTGAAGATGATGGAAATCTTGTTCAAAAAACCTTTGAATTATTTATCATTTATTATTATGTTGTCATAGGAATAATCGGACGAAAAATATTTGTTACGGGAAAAGGTATCGTTAAATACAACAGTAAAGATTATGATCAAAATATATAAAACCAAAATATTTGAAGCAATTACATTTATTGTTTTTAGGCTTGTTAATAAAGTCGTGTTTTCAGCTATTACGTTAGTGAATTTGCATAAATGATAAAATATCACCAATAATTATCGAATTACTTATTACAACTGTAGATTGAATTTCAGTAATAATCATGATTATATCAATGAAATATTTAGGAATTAAATCTCCTACTCGATAGAAAATTACATAATGCATTAGCAGACTTAAGAGTTACTTTTTCTTCCAAAAGTTCTAGAAGTCAAGAAAAAATTTCAAAACACCGACCAATTAGCGTTCTTTTGAAACCTCTAAAAAATTTCCAGGAACAACACATTTAACTAAGTTTCAGCAGTTTAAAAATCCCCATAGAATTCTCGAAAATGAAGAACATTTGAGCAAATAATCGTTTTCAATAATTCCATCATCAGTCTCTACAGTTATAAGTCCATATTTTAAAATCACCATTTTATTCACACGACTTTTTTCTTCATTTTCATTTTGTTATATTAATATTATACTGATTGTGACATGATACTATATTCCATATCATTCTGGCCTTTATTAAATCACCTTTCTTATTCACATATAACACATTTTTCAACTATATATGTCGTAACAGATTTTTTAAAATGATTTTTATGTATTGCTTTATTTCTTCTTTTCTAAATAAAATCTCATCTCTCTTACTAAAATGATACTGTTAACCATTGATCGATTTTCATCAAGAATCCTTTTTTGGAAAAGAAAATGTAGAATTACTGATTGCTTTTCTCAGAACACCTAATGATTGCATTATCGTTGATTTCACAGAAGAAACTAGGTGCTTCTGGTCTATAATAATACTCCATCTATATATATATATATATATATATATATATATTAAATCCCTGTTTAGTTCTGTGTTTTTAAGTTTCTTAATATTATTATGTATTGTCTTTTGTGTTTGTCTGAAAGATCACATTTATTTACATGTTGCTGTTTTGTTTACTTTACCAATCTATAAACAGATACTTCTGTATAAACCTTATGGTAAATCAGTAGATTGGTGGTCTTACGGTGTTTTGCTATATGAAATGTTAGCTGGTCAGGTAAGTGAATCTATCTAATGGCATATTTAGAATGACATTATTAAATAAGTTGACAAATGTTTACTGATTTTTTCTTAATATAAAGTAGCCTATAATGTGATTAAAGTTCTTCAATACCTTATATCATTCTAATATGTATGTGATGTCTCTCTCTCTCTCTCTCCACTTTCTTAGATTATTTAAATCGCAATGAAATAATTTTATCAATATTTTCATGATCAGAATGACACTTTTTCTTTGGTTTTACGAAATTTAAGTTTTATACAATGACGTTCCTAGACTTAAACGTATTAATTGAGAAGATCCTTCAAACATCATGACTTGTTTTTATTTCTATGACATAATCGCAGTAAAACTACCATTGAGTACATTTGAGCATTAGAAAACTATTTCATTCATGTTTTTAAAGCTTAGAATAGTAGTTTTTTAAATTGTCTTTTCAGTCATGAATAATGACTAGAAATGAGTTCCAGGAAGTGCATCTCGTTCTATTAGGGACTTATTAACTAGATGTACCTGCATCTCAGAGTTGATTTTCACTCCCAAACTCGGACTTAGTACCTTTCGCTTCAAACTCCATCGGATTATCCACTTAACTACTTAGTCCAGAAGGCATGACCAATTACAGTTTTGAACAACAATAGGAAAATTGAAACAACCAATATGTATGAATTATCTCTTCAGTTAGCATGGAATGATAATAACGTATGACTAGTATTATTACCGGATAATTTCTTTTACCTACATCTCACGAACCAAGTATAAATTCATGTTTTAAGCATTAATTTATGCTTTATATTATCAGTCTTAATAATACTGTGTAGGCATGTAAATCGCAAAAAAAGTGAGCACAATGTTGAATTTATTTGAGCTACAGATATCTTTTTTATAAACATTCCGATTCATCATAAAATCTGAGTCTGGACGTAACTATTAGTCAAGACAACTAAAAAGCAATGTTTTTCAAAAGTGAATGAATATGACAGCCAATCAGAAAAAGAGAATGTTTAAACATATGCCATAAATTATTAATCATGAGAAACATTATTATTTATAGGCAGAATATTGATTATTATGGCTAAGGAGTATTTAATTAACTTCTAGGTACTAGTTTCTTGAACCCATGAATTGGATGATGCAAGTAAGAACATAAAAAATGTTCGATAAAGATTTATATGACCGTCAAAATTAATCAAATCCAAATTTGAATCCATTGCATTTTAATATGATATATTTACAATCAGATTGATAATGAAATGTATATAAATTGAATTGAACAGCATTTGACATTAATTGGTTGATGAATGATTTACAAATATGCAATATCATGAAATTAACTATCTATGACCAATATTATTACTTTTTCAAATGTGATTATTTGTTATAAGAATCGGGAAATCAATATCCTATGTTACTGGTCTTGTTATCATGAGTGTAATTTTATTGACCCGGCTATTTAAATATAGGTATTTTACAATAAGTTTAAATTCAGTTAAATTGGTGCGGAATTAAAGTAAAATATTTATCGATCGCTTTATTCACAAATATAACTAAAATTGTTCCGTTTGAAACGATCATCATGTTTACGATCCATAACTATTGAATTTTTGGTATTCAATCTCTTCGAGTAAACATGGGTTATATATTTTCAAGTAATTTCTTTTGCTACAGTCGTTAAACGTACAATTCTGACTCTTCCATCAGAACTGTAATTCACTTGACTGATAATATGCTTTTTTCACAGATTTCTTAGCTGGTCAAGATTGTTTACGAGTTACCTAGATCCAGATTTGTTAGTATGTTCAACCATTTGGATCCTGCTCGAATAAGGGACAAATGTCCTCATAACCGTATATTTCCTATTTAATATGCGCTGGTTATTGTAATTTCTCCAGTCTGTTACTCTGGGGTATTTTGTTAACACTTTCTTAAAAATTGTCAACAGTAAATTCCCATGAGCTCATAAAAAATCATTACTTATTGGTTGTGAATCACAGGAAACCTTGAAAAATGCGATTCAAATACGATTATAATAGCATTTTTTGAATGCCGTAATAAATAAACACTAAACAAGTAATCATTAGCCCTGGGTTGTTAGATAAAGGGATAAAAAAGAGTAAATATAAATTTTGGATAGTAATCCACTGGAACGATGGCAGAATTTCAAACTAGAAAAACTTCCCCTAAATTATATGAGCGAATCTACGTGTAAAACCTTTCGGGGATTATATTCAACTATCTGATCTTAGACAGAATGCATTACTGAACAAGTGGCGAAATTTCAGTATAATCAAAACTATTTAATCATTACTAATATGAATTAGACAACGTGATGACATTTCTTAACATTCAATGATCGGTTAACGTAAATATCCTTGTCCTGCTGTTTATTAGCCACAGCCTAAACAATCCAGTGATATCTCTGGTTTTAGCAATAAGTTCTGATACAAGATGCATAAATTTTTGTCAAGACTATAGATGCTATAGATACCATATTGGTCAGTTCCAATCAAAATAAAGTTTATCTTCAGAGCTCCCTGATGATTGGATCAGATTGACTGATTTAGGAGTTCTATTGAAAATTGTGTAATTTACTGTATAGATTTTTGACACTAATTTAACTTATTGTTTTAAATGTTTTATCTCCACATCTTTTTCTGTTTTTCTCTTTGGTTAAAGCTTAATATATTGTTATATTTGTTATTTTATAGCCTCCTTTTGAAGGTGAGGATGAAGAGGATTTGTTTGCAAATATATTACAACATACTATTTCTTATCCAAAAAGTTTATCCAAAGAATCCGTTTCTATTTGTAAAGCAGTAAGTTTTCTCACGGTTTATTTTCGAATGTTATTATTAAAATTTATTTAGGTTGATACATTCATTAAACCTCAGAAGCTTTGTGTATATTCAGGTTTGAGTCACACCTTCATAAGTGAACTCTAGTACTATTATTATTATTACCACTACTACCGCAAATTCACCCAAATTGCATTGAGTAGAGCGTTGTTCAAAACTGAAAGTCGAGTGATTTTATCATCAAACTACATTTTCGGTGATCATATTCATATACCCCATCTTTTCTTCGCTTCGTCAATATCCTGTTTTGCATTGTTTTCGAGGACAACTTAAATAAAGCTAAACTTATAGAGACCTCTGCTTGTAATGAGTTGTATTCTTTTCGTGAAAGAAAATAAGCGAAATAGAAGTGATTAGATACAATAGTAATAAAAATGTATGCATTCACTACATCAAACATTGTTAATTTATAGATTTTGTCACGGACTGATCCTAGTTAGATAACCATTGAAAACCAAGAAGTACTGGATAATTGTTTCGTCCAAGTCCGTGACTCCTCGTCAATGCACGTCCACGATCTTAGTGCGGACCGAACTCAAGAATTTTGGGTCTGATAGCAAGCGCTTAATGTCTAGACTACTGAGCTGGCATTTGAGACTAGCTTTAACCAGTTCGCGATAAAAACGTACATCATCCTGTAGGTAGTAATCCCAATATTGGTTTGATAGTTTCAAATAAATATTTTGTGCTAAAAATATTTTTCATTGCTTCCTTTATACTATTTAAACTTGTGTTAACTTTATTTCGGTTATTTATTTACTCTGAAAAAGTGGCTAACATTAAGTCACGAAGAGTCAGAAATACAATCTCTCACTCACTGGGATATATATCTGTAAATCATTCTATTCACAATTGGTATTATTGAGTTTCTCTCCTATTTCCACGATCTATAGAACCGTATGGATAACAGAAAATATCTAATAATTTCTGTAGTATTATTAAAAACAAAAGTTTATAAAAATTAAAACAATCAATTATTTTATAACTTTATTTATTTGAACACATAAATATTGGTACAAAGGGGCACGGAATACATATGCGCCACACAAGTCACTTGATTTGTGTGTAGGCGATGTTACTGTCTGGGTGTCCATACCGAAGCAGGTGGTTTTCTTAGGTGGCCACACCCGGAGCAAGGTCTGATCCACAATGCAGTGGAGCAACGTTAGGAGATGCAGTCCCATGGTAGCCGGTGATCAATAATTGATTCATGCGCCATTTGTTTCCTTAGGATCCTGGAGCCCATATACACCATTAGTTTGGAATCTGGGTTTTCAAACTCTCCTAGGTGGCCCCCCCGTGTCCATCAGTCCGCTTAAAACGCCGGCAATTCGCTTTTCGTCCACTCAATTTCGTAAACAACACCCTCACCGCAAGAAGGCAGTGAGTAGGACTTCATTGGCAGTAGCTGTCAGTCAGTCAGTCAGTCAGCTACAACGTAGGACCAGGCACATATGTGCATCGGTCCAGGTTGCCATACCTCATTAGCACAGCAAGATGAACAGCGGATTCATAGGAGTGGTTAGGTCAAAGGATGCAATAAGGATATAGTATAGGAAGAAAGAATTAGTTCGTAGACAGAAAGAATGAAGTGATTTTAGTCTCTTAGTTTAAAAGAAGACAGGGAGTGTATACACCGACGCCATTGTGATCGATTCTGAGCCATGTCACCAAGAGTCTCCAACCATTGGTTACGAAAGTCACGCGGACCCCAACCAAGTAGTCTGCTTCTACCAACATGGCTCAGACTAGAAGTTAGTGACTTCAAGGACTGATGCCACGTTTTGGTTTGGCCGCCCCTAACTTTCTTCCAACCATCCCCTACCCCGGTCAGCATTGCACGTCGTGGTAATCGGTGTCCAGGCATACGTAATACGTGGTCCAACCATCTCAGTCGATGAAGATTCATAGTCCGACCGTTGTTGCTACCTTGACGTGGTGGTCGGGCTTGCCTATCGTGATGAAGCAACCGAGCTATACTGGCTGGAACAACCGTTCCTCAAGGTCCTACCATGTCAGACAGGTCGGTTGAAGAGCGGTAAGACTAAAAGCAACAAACCCAAGGTCCGAAGGCGAAGTCGTACTGCTGACTGTACAGAGGTGTGAGAGCAGTAAGGTGTTTCCTTCATACAACCAGCATGACAGCGATGCTGCCTTCCCACAAGGAGGGGTGGGGTTAGAAAAGGTCGACCCTAAAAATACACACCTCGCCTTATCCTACGGATATCCGTCTCCGGCGGTAAGGTCTCAATAAGTACGGAGCTAACACAAAAATTACCCATAACAAGGTCGTGTGTGACCGACCTCAAGCAGTTGTCCCTTGGGCACTGCGGTCACGCTCTCAGGTCACTAAGACCACCTTTAATCCAAATTCCTTTTCAGGTACCCCCAGAACAACCCTTCCACGGTGTGGGCAACCGGGAAGTGAAAACCGCCCTCATACCTCTAACAGCACTCAAGACCACTGTATTCATAATCAACCTTCTTCGTAGTAGCTGTATACGCGTGGCCATTTAAGAGCATTTCGAGATGGAGAGCTGACTCTCCCCACCCTCGACCGTACAAGGGCATTTGGAGGAAAGTACTTGGTTAATTCATCAGATCAAGTGAAAAGTTGATGAAATCATGATTCTCAATATTATAAGTATCAAATCACAAATGATTTAACCTGAAGAATGACTTCCATCATAAAGAAATCAGTAGTATTTTCTTTCCATGTTGATAATCTTGTCGTTTGACTCTTCGACTTTTATGATAATTGTAGAAATGTTTCATGTTTAACATAGTCTTAAATGTGTTGTGAATGGTTAAATTTTGTCATTAGATTATAATAAGCAATCAGTTATACACAACCTGAAACCTGATACATTGTTCTGTTATGTATTGTCCGATTCTGATACTAACAAACAAGCATTCTACATTAGCACTGCTAGGTGAAATTATCAAGAGACACTCCGGAGTAGTAGAAATAGGAATAAATAACAGTGGTAGTAGAGAAGATTAGGGACTGACTAGATGACTGGCGAAAAAGAATGAATTTATGGAGTAGAAAAAGTATTAGATGATTTCGGAACTCAAAACCTAACCTAAGACAAAGAATGAGTGCAAGTACACCATTTACAAAGATTCTGAAACTTGTCACTCAACGTCCCCAACCTTTGTTACAATAATCGCGTAGACCTCGCCCAGGTAATGTGCACCTACCTACATGGCTCAATTCAACACTCAAGTACTTCTTCAATTGTTGCCCTGTTTTGGTTTACCTGTCCCTGGGATTCATCCATCTCACTCGTAAACTATCCAATATCATCCATTGAGGATGAGAGTGGTCAGACAAAAAATAATACATTCTCTTAACCATACGTTGTTTTAAATTTATAAATTTTATTGTATCTTTTTCTTCTGTGTATTTGTATTGCAAACCAATATATCTTAACTGCAAATTATATACACTGCCTCCCGTAAATGATTTTATCATTTCGTAGACTGATTTTGTTTCTGATTGTATCAGTTCAGGCTGTAAATGTTACCGTCTAACATTTTCGTTTAATTATATTTCAATTTTTTACTAGTGTACAATGAATCTTCAATGCTCGTTCAGAATATTGCTTAATGTTTTTATTTTACAACATAGGTTATTGTATATACAATGTATTATTATTATAACTATTATTATCATTATTATTATCATTATATAGCTGCTTACAAGAGATCCAATTAAAAGACTTGGTTGTGGTTCAGATGGTGAAAAAGAGATTAAAGAACATTTGTTCTTTCGACGCATAGATTGGGATAAAATCGCTTTGCGTTTAGTACAACCTCCATTCAAACCAGTTACTGTATGTGTTGCTTTTTATCTCATTCAGTATATATTATGGTATAATGTTCATTGTAGTGTGATGAACTTGATAACTGTAAAATGCTAAAATTTCTCTGAACAACCCTTTCATTTTACTCTAAAGATATTTAGCACCATGGATTTATGACAATTTTGAAAATGAATATTTTGACAAATTATTAAGAACAAATGATCACTTGCAAAGTCAGCTGAGTCATTATTGAGACAATCGCTTGCCAGGTGTGATTGGATCTAGACCATATTAGATTACAAATTCGGTGAAATACTAAATGTCGAAATGTTAGATTACAAACTCGTGGTCGGAAAATATTATGCTCATCATGAGAGTTCCCAATCTTAATTTCGACTTAATGTATAATATTCTATTGTAGATAAAATTTTAACTTATGAAAAAACAGCCATCCATTAAAGGATTTTGGTTCTCACTAGCTTTTAAACTGATTTGAAATAATCAGAAAATTACCTGACCTTAATTTCAAACTAATATACACTTATATCAACATCAATTTAATTTATTAAAGAAATAGAAAAACAAATCACAAATAGTTATAGAATACATAAGTCAGGTCATAGGAAAAGACGATCATAATACATATGCTAACAGTGAAATTAAAAGTTTGCTTTTGAAGTTGTCCAAACAAAAATTCATGAAAGTTTCATGACTAAACTATCATGCTCAGAGAATGTAACTCCATTAATATAATTAAGAAGATTGTTGTGGAAATATCTCCTTATGTTTCTGAATGTTACAACGATTAAAGTACGTATAAAATTATTATGTATCGCTGGAATTTTCTTTTTGTGTGTAGTCTTTTTTTCAACATTTCAATCAAACTACAATCCACTATTTCTTCGGTCCTGGCAGTAATGATAAAAGATCTCAATATTCTGTTTATTATAAGGCATATTGTTCTTTGCAGTAGATTGTCTCTTTCAAATAAAATTCAGTAACCTTATTTTGGTCATTAATTAATCAAACAGTCGACATGTAATTGATTCAAACATTAAACTCTGTTGTTTAACTATAATCAGCTTAAAGTAATAAACATTTTTTAGTTGACCCCTTATACCAATTAGATAACATCATTGTTGTTGGCTAGTCATATATCTACACTAATTTCGTATTTCATCCTATCAGTGAAAGTGAAATTGACCATGTGATGAGAAGAGATAATCTATGATAGATATATTCAGTGTAATCGTCACTTATTTCAAAATTAGTTTCAGTTACAAATAAATTGACAGATTGTTTTATATGTTATTTCCCGACCGACTGACTGACTGACTAACTGACTTATATGTTATTCAGATATTATAAAAACTGAAGGGATTATATATCACAGATCTTATCAAGTCACTGAAATACAATTAGAATTCAACTAGAATTCAGATAATCATTCTCTCCTTCAACTTAATTCAGTTCAATATATTATCAGCATTTAGTTTAACTTAACACCACTGATCAACTTATTAAACCACACTCGTGAAGTAAACTAATTGCTCAACTACTCGTTTATCTTTCGTTTTTCATATTTTATATCACGAAATGATCATAGTTAAATAGTCATTGAAAGCCAGGAAGCATTAAACAGTTGTTTCATCCTCGTGTAAAACCCCTCGACTGTCCATATCAACTATCTGACCAGGAATTAAACTGAGAACCTTCAGACCATGCGACGAGCGTTCAATCACTGGGCTTGCATCTAATGGTTGGGATTCTTGATCAATTTGAGATACTGTAAAACCGCTTAGCATTGTCTTCGATAGATAAATGTCCTAGAGTGAAACACCGTTAGCCATAGGTTATCACTAGAAATGCGTAAATTATTTGCAAAATTAGTCACTAGTGAGAAAATTATCATTATCAGCGTAAGGGTTTGTGTTGCGTAAACTTAAGTTCATCAGTCTAAATTTGTTTATAATGACTTACTTTGAATTAATATTTTCCATTTAATCTTTTTATTTTCTAGTTATCACCACGTGATACAAGTAATTTCGATAGTGAATTTACAAAAGTCACTCCAGAATTATCACCAACTGATAAATTATTTGTTATGAATTTAACTCAAACAGAGTTTAGTGGATTCTCTTTTGTTAATCCGGAATTTATTGTTGAAGTATAAGATTTTGATTCTTTCTTAGTATTTTGTTTGTTTGTTTCCTCCCTTCTGTGTATTACTCTTTGAATTTCATTGTGAATAATTACTCAGTTTCAGCATACCTCTATGTTCTTTTCGGTCCATCTATTTATTTATCCATTGTTCCTTACTGTTTTCTTCCGTTCTTTAAATGCATTTATTCATGGCAGTGTTACTTCTGTTGTATACAGAGAGTTTGTTTTTATTATGTGAATTCACAGTGTGTGTATGATGTATGTATGCGTGATCGTTACTTTGAGTTTATGAAATAACAAAATGCAAACAATGAAACCAAAACAATGGTAAATATATATATATAAATGTTTTCACTAGCTACCTTATTGACATAGTTGCCATGTTACAGGGTATTATCAAGTGTTTCTGTGTTGCATTTTTGGTTTGTTCATATACTTGTCAACTTCAACTATGGTAAATTTATGACTAACCGACTACTTTTCATTTATATATACATATATAGATAGATTCATACAGGAAATGTTTTAGTATAAGATCATATTCTTAGTATTGGATGTGTTGGCGTTAATTATTTCACCATTGTTGTTCGTTTTCAATATGTTATTTGTAAATTTGTTAAAGTTTTATTTTCAATTAAGAATCTTTTTATTACTTTTCTTTTTCTTACTCTGTGTTTGCTCATTTTTATTTTAATGTGATATAATTCTTGTTGGAACTATGTTTATTATAATCGATTTACTTTGTATTTGTTTATTTAAGATACATTAGGGATACATTAGTTTCCTTTACATAGACTTTTTTCATTTTTTTTCTGGATTAATGTAAAATTCCTACTTTCTGTTACTGACTTGGATGTGCAATAAAATTGATGGTATATATGAATGAGAAAAAACAAAACATTCCAATTATGAAGTACTTTTACTACTATTAATATATAGTAGTATGTGCAATGTTACTAGTATCAATAGCAGTAGTAGTGATAGCAACTGAACTAATGTACCTGCTAGCTAACCTGATCATCAATAATTTACTTAAATTTTTTGTGTATTACACTAATTTAACGTATAATTTATTTTGAAATTTTTTTCATCCATTTTCTTGATAATGTTTAACTTTAGTCAAATTTAGTTGTCCCCGTGTGTTGTTGTTGTTTGTTTGTTTCGTTTTCATAACATCTGCATCGGTCTTTCTTCTTCTTTTCCTCCTTCTCATCTCTTCCTGTATCTGTTTATTTTTCTTTAGTTTTGTTTCTTTTATCATGTGCGTCAAATATAAAACGTTGAACACTTTGATGAGATTCTCTGTTGTTTATTATTATTGTTCGAATGAAAGCTGGTTTAAGAAAAATAAAATACCAATTGAAATCAATCACAACAAAGACATGAGAGTTTTGTATGTTTGTAAGGCAGCTGTTCTCTTCAATTTTTCTCTTTTTTTTGTATGTGTACAAACAAGTCAGCGATTATGCACATTTATTACATAACAAGGAGTTGTTTCCATGTTTATAAACAACCCTGTTTCATTTTTTGTCATTTACATATTTTAATTTGTTGAGCGAAACAACCATTTTATTCCAATTTATTCATTTGTGAATCATTGTGTTTATTCATAAAATTATTGTTAGAAGAAATAAAACTTTTTTTTCTAGAAAAATTAATTTCTTTTTACTGTAATCACTGTTTTATTGATTTTAATTCATATATGATAGTAAATGTTGAATCTTATACACTAGTCGGTTAATCAGCACCTAAATATTAACTTGTTTACTATTCAAATAAAAGCTTTAGATATTCCTCACTTTGACAAATCAAAATCAGTATAGGTTATCATTACTAATCGTTTTCATTATCTCGTTATTGACGTTTATGTTTTATAAAACAAGATAGTAGGTTCAAGTCTCAATGTAAATATCAGTACGAGAATATAGTTACATCTAGATATTGAGTCTCAAATCGGAAGAAATGTTCTTCTTGAATTTTTACTGTTTGTCATAATCTATCTTTTTCGAAAATCAGTAGTTTTAAATTATTGGAAAGTTGTCATTAATATTGATCTTTCACTGTTTTGTTCACAGAGTTATCTAATACATAATCAAAATATGCGAAATAAACATTTTGAAAGAACTGACGTTGATATATTTAAGCTTTCGTTATTTTGAAGTGTACTTAGAGTTTTAATAATTTTCCGAATTAGGATTGCTTTTATTTATACAAAGTGTTCTTTCGGCACGTCATTTTTTAAGAATAAGACGAAATGACTGGTTAGAATATTGATAAATATATGTAAAAGCTTTAGCACTAAGTTGTAGGTTTGAATCTCAGCTTTTTTGTGGAGTAGCACTGTTTCTCATGCAAAAATTTATTTTAAAAGTCAAGTGTATCAAACTTCGCCTGAATAAATAAGTTGTCATATATATACCTTTCTACTGTGCCATAATAATAACAAACATAAAAGCTTTTTTCAGATGCAATGAAATACATTTTTTAATGCAGATATTGATGCTAACTTTCGATTTTTTCCTAAATAATAAATTTCAAATTAAAATTATCCACTATAAATTTAATTTCTGGAGAGCACAAATTTTGTGGTTTAAAATTCAGTAGTAATAAGTAGTTTCGATCATTTGTTGAACATCATTAAATTTCATGAAACTATTCATTCGCCTGTTTTAGTTAAATAGTATTAGGTTTTGCGCACAAGATACTGTTCAAATATTGTGTTTGCGAATTATCAGTGTTAAGCTGAACTATTAACTTCTAACCGAAAATCTTCTGTGTCTAGTTATCGGGAAAATACATTATGTTTTCATCTAGCGATTTGAACATGACCTTTAATATATATATATATATATATATATATATATATATATATATATATATATATATATATATATATATATATATATATAAACGTTGAGCACTTGCACTAGATGTTAACGAAAAGAGCATACATACTGACTGATATAGTTTTAGTAAACTTTAATTTCTTACTGCTTTGGCTTTTAATCTTTTCAACCACTTACCGCTTAAATTCATCCAATAATCTTAGTTGGCAGCATATTTATATAGAAGTTAAAACAGAACATTTCTGAATGATATTTTTCAGTTATTGAGATGTTTATAGATTAGTTGTTCCTTAATACGATTGATTGCTCAACGTCATATTACAAATACTCTGCATAGTTTTATATATTGAGATTGTGATAGTCAATTTTCAATGGAGCAATCGACTTTTGAATGATTGTTTTATTCGTAAGGATAACCTTTTTTGACTCACAATGGTTTATTGATGTATCCATCTTGTAAATTATTGGAACATGAAAATAAGTACTTGGAGTAGTGTTTTCATGTTGCTTTTTTAAAAAACAAACCAGCCAGTTGGTTTGATACTCGTGCTGTTATTATATCTACAGTTGTGATATTGTGGGTAGTGACTGAAAGCAAAATAGTTATTATGGTCTTTAAAATAATGATTCGACACTGATTGAGTGTTTGCCATTCACTATACTGTTGCAACACGATAAAGATTATATGGAAACAAAGATGGATAGCCTTCATCAACTGGAATAGCTAAATGATTGTAAGATATTTAGTCACCGTATGAGATCAAATATTATAATTCTGCTTTGATTTTACGGAAATTTAACATTCATATTGACTTTTTGTGTGACTTTTGTATTTGTAATGTATTACACCAAATTTGAATGTAAGATTAAACGTGTATGGACAATAATCTCTTTCACAACTTTGGTAAGTAATTCTTAGCGTTGATAGCAAGGTGAATACTGTTTCTACTGATATCAGATAATGAGTGACTCGCATAATTTTATTCTACATACGGCATAGTGGATATATGAGTTTTTGAACAAAATATGTATGTACATGTGTTAGCACTTGCTTGATTTCAGTCAAATTACACTGAGATTTGTGGTACGCTATGATCATCCTTGATTGTTTCTTTTAAAATGAATAACTATCTATCTTTACAACTTAATTGAATCCACAAACCATATCCTTCATTTGGAACTTCTGAAATGAATCAAAATTTCAAATTTTAAACAAAAAGTGATAACAGCTGGAAGAGTACCAAAAAGTTGTTTCGTCAAAGATTGGATTATTTTTAACAGTACGTACCCACAGCCTCATACAAGATCAAATCATTGATCTTTAGGTTATTTAGCAAGCATTACACTTAGTATTTCGGAAAGTTTTTATTTATTTATAAATAACTAGTCAATTCAATCTTTCATGTCAGGCGTTCGATCTCATTATTGTTACTGAAAAAATATTCAAAATGAAGATATGAAAAATTATTGTAATACCACAGTATATGATTTTTCACTTTGAAGATACTACTTTTGCCAAATATTTTTCAGTTCATAAACTTCTCTATATTCATATGTATTAAATCTCACAGTGATTTTATTGCGTAACTGATGTTTTCTTTTTTACATCCTCTTTCCATCAAATAGCTTTCATCTACATTTGTGAAATTCATTCTAAAGTACATTTGTATGGTATACCGAATACATTTTTTACAACAGTGATGATGATGTTATGCTATCGTGATCGGTCAATTCCAAAAGGTTTCATTATATTATTCATTTAATAATGTGTTTCATCTGATAGATTTAAACCTTGTGCAGTTATTCTATAATTCATTAAAAAAGTTTGCCAATATGTACAATGTTTACATACAATTGATTTTATCAGAGATCAATATTGAACAATTGAAAGAAATGATGAAATTATCTGTAAAGTATGTTTTAATTAATAATGACAATCATAATAATAATAATAATTATTATTATTATTGAAAATTATAGATGTAAACATTTCAAATCGATATCCAATAAATCAATTAATCATCGTTATGTAAGATAAGTTCATTTATTGTTAATAAAATCCATTATATATTTTATGATTATTTTAGATTTTTAATATATTACAAAAATATATGGATTGTTTTAAAGATGCTTTCTATTCTAATCATAATTTCAATATATTTTTAAAATATATCCTTTTTATATAAATTGATCATTTGAATAAAAATTAATTATTTTGTAAATATTCTTTGATTAACTGTTACTTGCTTACTTACTTATGCCTGTTACTCCGTGTGAAGGAGCATAGGCCGCTCACCATCATTCTTCATCTAACCATGTCTTGGGCAATCCTTTCCAGCTCTTTTCAGTTGTTATTCATCCTTTTTATGTCTGCTTCTATTTCCCGACGTGATGTGTTCTTTGGCCTTTCTCTTTTCCGCTTCAATTCAGGATTCCAAGTTAAGGCTTGCCTCGTGATGTAGTTTGATGATTTGCGTAATGTATGTCCTATCCATTTCCATCGTCTTTTTCTAATTTCTTCTTCAGTTGGAATCTGGTTTGTTCTCTCCCACAAAAGGCTGTTGCTGATGGTATTCGGCCAATGGATGTTGATTATCTTCCGTAGACAGCTATTTATAAATACTCGTACCTTCTTGATGATGGCTGTAGTAGTTCTCCAAGTTTCATCGCCGTACAATAGAACTGCCTTGACGTTCGTACTGAAGATTGTGACTTTGATATTGGTTGTAAGTTGTTTTGAGTTGTATATGTTCTTCAATTGTAGGAATTCGGCCCTTTAATTAATTAACTGTTGCTAACCTGATATTATAAAATCATATTTTTATTTTAATATACAATTTTATTGTTTGTTTTTTAACTTTCATTTGTACTATTGAAAAATTATTTTGTTATCTGATAATCTATAGGTTTATAAAGTTTTGATTAAACTTTTTGTGTTGAGATTCATCACCATTGAGAAACTATTAATAGAAAAGCCTCTATTAATTTAGTTTTATCGTCATAACGTACTTTTTGGGAACTTAAATGATTGATGTTTCTATGAGGTTCAACCTCAAGACAGATTTGTTCCTAATTGAATGTGTTACTTTTGAATTATATAACTTTAATCCAATAAATATCAGTCTCTAACCTTTGGTTGTATATCATAAATTATTATACGAATGTGCTGTTTTGCATTGTGTATAATAGTAACTAAAAGTTGAATCATCAAGTAGAACTTAGAAAATACCAAGTGAGTATCAATTATTTTCAGTCGTTTTCTTCTATCTAATTAAGTTTACTTTCAGAGAAATATATAATGTCCTAAATCATATATCATATGATTTTCCTGAAGTATATTCACTATTTCTTTAACATTCATTTATTTCTAATACATTTGAAGCATTTTATTAGCATGCAATATGGTTGCGGCATTCGACTATCCTCTATTTATCACTCATTTAAAGTACGTTGTTCAGTTTTAATTTTTGTACTTTGAAATCACTCTTTTTAATTTGTATCCTATACTATGGATGTATTAATTCGTGAAGATTTGCATTATCCTGTGGTTTACATTCATGACTATTGTTGGAATATATATACATCTTGGACAGATACTTCGATATTGCCTTTTTTACACATTTTAGTTTCGATAATGAAGCTATGCAAGACCTTACTAGTAAAAATAATACCTGGTCAATAAATTATCAGTTATCTGAACTCAGTAGCTTAGTAGATAAAGCGTCGACATTTGAAGTAAATGGTACTTGTTTCCAGTCTTAGTCTACACAGCAGCACTGGTATGAAAGTATATCCATCTGATAAGTCCTAAACTGGTTAAGACACTCGTCCTGGATTTCAGTACCATCCACTATTCAAATCAATCAAGATTTCTTTCATCTACTTTTCTTGATATATTGATATCCATGATCATTTAAAGCTTAAGAAAGAAAGGAAATATTATAAATCTAGTCAGCAAATAGGTTTGTTGGAAGAATTTTTCGATGATACATGTTGATATAGGCCTCCGTACACTGAGTTTCAAATGTTCACTGGTTAGTAATCATTTCTATAGACAAGTATTCTATTGTTGTTGTTTTTTTAAACATTTTAAACTAGCATGTTCAGTATATTGATCATTTCGGTTAGTTCTCCAATTTTATATTATACAATATCGTTTCTTATTTCTGCTTATTTCCTATAACACAGAGACTTTTATTAACAATTAATTCAATAAGTTTATTTTTGTTTCGCTATGTGTATTTTTATTTGAAACCGTAATTTATTTCCATCATCATCATGTACTTTTTCAACTTCTATTCAATTACCTTTGAATGGTATAAACTCAGTATAATTTTTTTTAAATTAAAACCCTCAAGTACTCCTCTTTACCTAATGGTTTAACATTGGTTTAATTAGTAATTCAATAAACAAATCTGTACTTAGTATTCTTTAGTTATAATATTAGTACACATCATTATTCAGCTAATTCGAGATGAAAGAAATAAAGTCTTTTATCTAATTTCCACTTTCATTGGACATAAATATTTGTTGTTAAATAATAAATAAAACCAATACGTTAATAAACTTTCGTTAATCAACTGTATATCGAAGATACCATCATGATCATCAGACAAATCAAGAGTAAGAAAGCAACAGGACCTGATAATATACCAGCCGAAGCTCTTAAGTCAGACATTGAAGTAACTGCATGCATGCTTCACGTTCTGTTCAGGAAGCTTTGGAAGGAAGAGCAAGTGCCGACGGACTGGGAAGAAGGACACTTCATCAAGAAAAAGAAAGGAGATCTGAGCAAATGTGAGAACTACAAAGGCATCACACTACTGCCAGTACCAGGAGAAGTTTTAAGCATAGTGTTTCTGAACCGGATGAAAGATTCAGTAGACGCTGAACTGCAAGATCAACAGACCGGATTCCGTAAGGATCGGTTGTGCACAAACCAAATAGTGACATTACAGATCATCATTGAGCAATCACTATACATCAACTCCTTGGACTATGAGAACGCGTCTTACAGTGTGGATAGGAGGACCTTCTGGAAACTTCTTCGACACTATCGTGTACCTGAGAAGATCGCCAACATCATCTGGAATTCATACGATGAAATACACTGCAAAGCTTTGTATAGAAGATAGCTGACAAACGCATTCCAAATGAGGATCGGAGTCAGACAAGGCTGCTTACTCTCCCCATTTATTTTTCTTCTGATAGTTGGCTGGATTACGAAGACCTCCACACCTCAGAGATAGTACGCAATGCAATGGACAGCTTGGAGTCAACTATTCGATTTGGACTTCGCAGATGATCTGGCTCTTTTATCCCATACACACGAAAAAGTGCAGATGAAGACAACTAATGTAGCAGCAGCCTCTATGGTGGTAGGTGTTAACATACAGAAAGGAACAACCAACATCCTCAAATACAACACGGAGAACAACTCAATCACACTTGATGGAAAAACCCTGGAAGATGCGGGATCTTTCACATACCTTGATAGCAGCATCATTGATGAGCAAGGAGGATCGGATGCAGACGTAAAGGTGAACGTCGGCAAAACAAGGGTCGCATTCATACAGTTGAAGAACATATGGAACTGAAAACAACTGTCTGCAAGCCAACATCAAAGTCAGAATCTTCAATACGAACGTCAAGATAGTTCTACTGTACGGAGCTGAAACGTGGAGAACTACTACGGCCATCATCAAGAAGGTACGAGTATTTATAAATTATTGTCTACACAAGATTCTATGATAAGATATAAATTTCATTTTGATTGAGTCAAATAAATCCTTTTACCTTTTTATAATTTATACGTATATATATTACAAACACGTTTACTTTTTCTGTCATTATTAGGTGCCTGATGATAGATCTTCAATATGGCGACCTTATTTTTATTCACTTGTATACACTTTATTAAGTGGTTTAGTTGTCCTTTACTTGAAAGTAAGGCATAATATTTCTTTTTTGCTTAATCATAATCAATATTATTATTAAGAAATATTTTCGATGGTGTGAATTTAATACTGTTGTGCCGACAGTAGCTTATTTCACACATGAAAGTTGGAAAAAGCTGAGTACTGATTTTATCACTGGTAAGTAATAATTTTTTTCTAATTCATTTTGATTTACCTTTAAGTTAGTTAGTAATAAATATGTTACAGTAAACGATAAATTTTTTTAAACAGTTTTCATCATGAATCAAGCTAATGAAAAGTAAAGAATGCTAGTTAGTAATTTCGTTGTAATTGGAGACATCTTAACATAGTACATACATATCACTGCTAAGTATTAAACTCAATATATTTAAGTCTCTTGCGGTGATCTTATTGACAGTAATAAATAACTGAGTTGTAATTTACTAATTAATATTTTAATCAGTTCCTAGTGAAGCTTGACTGTTGTTTGAATACAACAATGATGACTGTATCACTTACTATGTTGTTAAACTTCATGAGTTATAATATTTTACTAATATACATATACCCATAATGAAAACCTTCTCCGCATTAATACAATCTTTGCAATTCACTCATCTACCTAAGTAAAGTATGATGATAATTTCACACAATTTTTGACGTTTATAAAATCAAATTGAAAAAAAAAACAAATATCATAGTAGAACAACATGAATTCATTGACTTCGTGGATTGTTCTCAGCTATTTACACATTAAAGCCTTATTACTATTTATTAAAACGTAACAAATGTCAGAATCTTCTAGGATAACTTCACTTAATATATGGAAATAGAATAATATCTATTATCACAATAATACTGGAGTATTATTACTTTTCAAACTTCTGTTTATTTTTCGACTTAAATATATGAATATTCTAGAAGATCATGGAAACAGAAAAATAAATTTCTCTCCAAACCAACACATTAATTATTTAATACGGACTAGTCAATTAAAGTTCAGGAGTAAGAATTCGTACATTAAAGTTTATGAAAAATATTCATTTATGTTTTGATGAATAAGATTAGAATTTTAGATTGTAAATAGCTGAGAAAAAAATCCAAGAATTGTATTGTATCAAAAAAGGAGAGAAATTTTCAAGTAAATTCTGGTATTTTAATAGTTGAATTCATGAGTCAATCCAATCTAGATCACCATTAAAAACCGGGAAACAATGGATGGCCGTTTCATCCCAGTATGGGGCTCCTTGACAGCGCAAGATCATAGATAGATTGAAGTTAGACATCAACACTGCTAGATGCCGGCTCAGTGGTTTAGAGGTTAGACGTTCGCGCACAAGATCGAAGTTCCTAGGTTCGAGATCGTGGATGCGCACTTCTGAGGAGTCCCATACTACGACCAAACAGCCATCCAATGCTTCCAGATTTTCAATTAAGATCTAGTTTAAGTCGATTCATAAATTCAATTATTAAAATCACTACAATCTTCGCAAACCCCCATTCTAATAAATCCTGATAAATAACTGGACATGAATTTAAAGGATGTAGTTTAGACCTACCATTTATATATTTATTTTAACACATAAATATTGGTGCAAGGAGGCACCAAATACATATGTGCCACACAGATCTCATTTGATATGTGTGAGGGCTATGATACTTCCCGGGTGCCCAGACTGAAGCAAGTGGTTTTCTTAGGGGGCTACACCTGGAGCTTTCGACCTGAAGGTCTGATCCATAAGGCAGTGGAGCAACGTAAGGAGATGCATTATCATGGAAGCCGCTGACCAACGATTGGTTCATACGCCATTTTTTCTTTCAGGATACTGGAGCCCATGTGCACCATTGATTTGAAACCAGGGTTTTCCAACTCCCCTAGGTGGACTCTCCATGTCCACCAACCTGATTAAAACCCCGGCAATTCGCTTTTCGTCCTCTCAATTTCATAAACACCCCCCACGAGAAGGCAATGAGTAGGACTTCCCTGGCAGAGATTAAATACGCGTGTCCATTTGAGAACATTTCGAGATGGAGAGCTAACTCCCTCCACTATCGGCCATACCAGGGCATTTGGGAGCAACCTGCCATTAGAATCTTGAATAACTTTTAATCCAGTCGATTGATATACATTAAAATATACCTTTTAAAATTTAACTCTTATTCATGTATTCACTTTTTTCTTCATATCAATCAATTATTCAATTTCTTTATTTTTTTTCTCGATTTTAATTTAGATTTAATTAAGAATAATATAATTCAAAATAAAATTAATAATAATTCAATGTCATTAATTTATTCCAATGAAACTATTAATAAAACTTATATATTAACATATAGTATTGGACGTTTATCTATGAAACCTTTTGGAAAAGGTTTTCGTTTACTTATTAATGCTAATTATCATTTATTATCATTAAAGAATTTAATTAATCAAACAGAATTAAATTCAAATATTCAATATTCAATTCAACCTTGTTTAAGTCTTAATCAACGTTTAAAATTAAATAATGGTTTATTTGAATTTCTTAGAAAATTGAAAATTGAAGTAAGTAATGAGTTATACATTTTAGTTTGTTTTTTTCTCTGTCCCTCAATACTTATTAAAATATAATATAGTTTCACTGAATTAATTAACTACGCTCTAAATAGATATCATTATTAAGGTTTGATTTGATAATTTCGAATAAATTAAGCATTGAGTAGATCGCGCAATTTCGTGGATTGGTTGATGTTAGACACTAACACCATTGGATGCCGGCTCAGTGCTCTAACGGTTAAGTGCTCAGGCGCGAAGCCAGTAGGTCCTGGGTTGGAATCCTGCGAGGTGCGGGATCGTGGATGCGCACTGCTGAGGAGTCCCATACTAAGACGAAACGGCCGTCCAGTGCTTCCAGGTTCCCAACGGTGGTCTAACATCAATTAATTCATGATCTCAACCAATAAATATATATATAAAAAATAAATTAATACATGTATTGTCCCAATGAGTAGAAAAATTAGATTTTCTGACGTTTCGTGACTTAGTGTATGACACTTCTTCGGAGGACAAATAAACGAATTATTTACTCTTTTAACAAGTGGCATAAACTGAATCACGAGATGTCATAAAATTTAATTTTTCTACTCATTGGGATATTGCAAATATATTAATTTATTTATGTCCTACATATTTGACTACTAGTTAAATATAGGTGGACATGAATAATACATTACTTTAATTCATTTAAAAAACATTACTGTTAGAATACTCAACGATGTAACTGAATAACGGTTTCATCAATCTATCAATTAACGTTCATTGATTTGTTCTAGTTTGAAATTCCTTAGAAACGTAAACTTCCTTCCTCATATTAGATTAAATGTAGTATTTACAAATCTTGCAGTAAGTGTAGTATCTTTAAAATGATCTAGACTATTCATTTACTTCCTACTGATTTGTGTTGTTGTACAATAGACATCCAACATCATTCATAAGTCATTATCTTACTTTTCAAATGATTGGCTGCGCAAATTCACATTCCTTAGCAGAACTTTGTAAAATTTATCTGCAAATAGTAACCATTTGTCAATAGAATCGTTCATTAACTTTATAGTGAATACTGCTAAAGAATCGTACAAAACACCCATGAGACCACTTTTGAGAAAGAGAATTGTGATCTGTACTAGCCTTCTTTATCAGTCATTTATTGCATCGGTACTTAACAGTGTTGTGTTTTAATATATAATCAACAATGGATGTCACAAGTTTGCAGGCTTATTTCTGAATATTTATCCCTGAAATTTCTTTAGACTACAATGAAACCCTTGATTGTTCTGATAGTTCTGTTTATGAGAAATATTGTAAATATTTGGTAATACTCGCCCTTGATGTTAAGTGGTTTAAAGTAGTTGACAGTAGAACCTGGACTTCTATGCCAGTTGTCACTCTTCAGCAAGACGTCCTCTTAACCTTCAGAATATTAATGCTCTTGGTCATCCAGCTTCTCAGTCTAAGATATCATCACTGACTGCATGTAGAACTGATATTTACATTGATTGACCTTAACTGGTGACCAGTGTCGTGTTTTTCTATTAACTGGTGCCTTTCCCATATCCTAAAAGTGTTTATTTGCACGTTGCCAGCTAAAGTTAAAACGATTTTTAGTGGTTTTTTCAAACACTACTTGGTATAATTCATTTATACTATCGGTTTCTTTCCTATGCTCATCATCAACTATATCTTATTTTACTAAATGATCTGTTTCAAATATTTACAGCTACGCTATCAGCAAGCAGAATTCATTACTATATTGACTGATGTTTCTAAATGATGTAACTTATCTCTTTTTCAAAAATGTATTCCTTTTTCTTCAGAAATGAGCAGTTCTCAGATTAATTTTAATTGCTTCAGTTATCCACAATTTTTATTTCACCTGGCAAATTAACCAACAGTTAACCAAGCTTGACACTTTTCCAACATTTTGATTTATTTTCAGTTACCAGGTATTTATGCACCATCTTTATTATCGACAAAATCTGCATTTAAAACTTTATTATCATTTCGTTCACTTGTTTATTCAATAGGATTTCGTCGGTAAGTTAAATACTGGTAAATTGCCTTTATGTTACGTTTTGCTTCAAATAATATATTTGTATTATCGTAGGGAATTTGTGGAGAATTCTGAATTTCAGAGTTTACATCACTGGTATAAGGGATTATCCACTAATGACATTGGTCGATAATTGGACAATTTCTCTAATCGTTTAAAGTTAGGCATGTAAACGATTGATTACCAGAGAAATAGTCTAAAGTTTAAGCTCTCGCTACATGACCTGAATATGCTGGGTCAAGTCTGCAAATGAGTCTTAGATGCCCACTGTTGATGAGCCCTTGCTGGGACGAAACAGCTTCACAGTGATTGCTGGTTTTCCGTGATTATCTGACTAAAATCAGTCCCCAATGTATACTGTGTTATGTAAGATAACTGTATAACTTTAAGAAAGATTTTTATGCTTTGATTACATTTTAAAGTATTCTTTATATGAAACTGTATTTTATTTAGTACAATTAGATTGAATACATTATTTTACCTAAAAAATTCTTGTCTGTTACACAGTCACTTATAGTCAGCCGGAGATTTGACAGAAATGTATATGTATGTTTAAAGAACCTCATCACTATTATATTGACTCAACTTAGACTATTTTTCAATACATAGTTACGAATTAATATTTGTGGAAACTATGTTTTTGTTCAATTTTGTTTTCTGATGCTATCACTTATTAGTTTTTTCATCAGTAAAAAAAATTCTTTTTTTATTGTTTGGTTACTGTTTACTTGGCTGATTTGTTGATTTTTTTGAAATCTAAAATAAGTTATTTGTTGAATCCTATCTCATGTATAAATCTTAACTGACCTACATCCATGATGAAGAATGCTTTAGGAAATAAAAGTAATAATAATTACACTTAAGATTTATTATTATATCGAATGAAAATAGCATGATCATGTGCCTTTAAACTAAATCTATCACATATATAAGTTAGGTTGTTTAGATCAATATGTTTTGAATATATATTCAACTATTCCTTTATTGGACAGAAATTGGGATACTCTCAATACTTAAACTTTCTTCAAAATGTCTATAAACGAAACAAATATCTTACCCTCGGACAATATATAATGGTAGTTTATTATTTCAAACACTTGATTTATAGCCAAAATGTCGTAGGTTCGAATCCTCTTGCGTCGTTAACTTCCGTCTGAACAACTGTTTACAACCATCAGTTTTTTCGCGTACAAAAAGATGTACTTCAAAATTCAGTACATATTTGCTGAATATCTCCCAAAAATGATCAATTTTCCCCAGTTTTAGATAATCACTAAGGTTTGTCTAGAGAAATCAAAATAATCTGCTTGAGTATAATAAGCACGAAAAACATCAACTTCGTTGTTTGTTTTTATTTTACTTAATGTCTACTCCAAAATACAGTAGAACAACGTCAGGGCATCCGATTACATGATAACCGGTCACCAAATATAATTCGTAAGCCGTTCAACTTCTCATGGTCACAGAGCCTTGTGTACCATTTGTTTGAAACCAAAGTTTCCCGATTCTCTTAGGTTCATCCTCGGCAGTGACCAACTCAGTTTGAATGCCTGACGTACGGTTTTTCTTTAACTTTAGTTTACGACATCCTTTCTACCAGAAGCCAATGAGTAGGACTTCCTTTATACTGGTTTTAAACACGTGGCCGTAAGATAGTAGTTCAAGAGGGGCTTAGTCTCTATACACCCTCGGCCGTACTGAACCATTCGAAATACAGATGCATTCAAGTAAATCGAAACTGGAAAAACTGTTTTACTGTGATTTTATGTTCTTTCAATTTCTTAACTCATATACGGAAATGGTAGATCGTTTAATCTTGATAATTATATTTAAAGTTCTAGGCAACCTTTGAATAGTAGTCCTGAAATATAGACCATAACAACACCAACAAAAGACAGTTGTATGAATAGGACTATTCTGCGATGCGAGGCATGATTTAACTTTGAGAATTAAAAAACTATCAATTAATTTCATAATCTCTATTATTTTCGCTTAAATAAGATTGTTGATTCGATATTTCCCATTGTTGTTTGACAGACGTTATTGTTATGTATTTTACCCTTATTTAAGAATAGTAACTTGAACCAATATATATACGTACCAGGTTCTACGTTGTGACTGACTGGCATGGTTGCATACTGTTTAGGTATCCCTTTTGTCTTTTGTTTCCTGGTTTTCAATGGCTGTTTAAGCGGGATCAGATATCGACGGACACTAAATTACAACTTATTGAAAATAATTTCAATAGTTATTTATAAGTATTTATTAAAAAAATTGGTCGTTTGATGTAGTATAACCGCTTCTAAATATCTGAAAAATTGACTTTTTCACTATATTCTCATACCATCAATACATAATTCTTATAGATTTATTTCTATCAGTCAAATCTAATAATCAATAACGTAGGATCTCGCATGTATATGCATCGCTTAAAGTCGTCATATTATATCAACATAGTGAGATGAAGGTACCACGACAAATGCCAGAGTAGTGGGAATAGTAACAATATCAAAAGTATTGTAATATGTTAAGGAGAAGCCATGTGATTCTAAAATAAAGAACGCATTTACTGAATCAAAAGTATAAGCTAGCCTTTTCCAACAAAAAACACACAACAGAATCGTCTTTTTTTACTTCAAACACAAATGCTCAAACGTAGAAATATACTCATGATGTTTGATAGTTTTCAATATTAATTTCTTTTGTGTTTGTAGATTTTGGATTGCAAAATTAGATATTTTGGATTTTTTTAATCAAATTATTCATTCTAAATTACTAGAAGTTTTCTCTGATACTTTAAATGAAGTAAGTGAAAATTAATAAAATGTTTAAAGTGATATTGAATGTTGAGTAATAATTGGGAATAATAATCAGAAAGGTTACAGTTTTCATGAAGTTCAAAAATGCTTTTGTACCATTTTTAAATCTCTTAGGGTTTTTTTTGACGAACTTTTATAACTGTCCTTTTTTTGGCAGTAGATAATTTTGTTTGTCTGTCAATTGTACTTAGTTATTCAAGTCTAAGATTCCATTTGGTCTTGATGCTTTTTAGTTATATATTTTACAATTGTTGGTTACATCTCCTAATTATTTCCTCTTTTTTATGTGTGTCTATTTGTATTCACTGGTACACTCAGTGAAAAATGGCAAGCAGTAGTTTTGAATTACAGTTTAATATGTAGTAATGTTTTAGTTCACATGGTAATAATAATTTAGAATATATGGCACCTTATTGATAATTATAGTTATAAAATATGGATTGTTTCCCGTAATTAATCATACAAAGGAATCGATCGTTGAAGAGACATTGAAAATGATTCTAAGTGAACATAATCCTATTCATAAACATTATTCTCACCTTAAACTTGATTTAGTATTCTTCAGAACATTTTTATATGCATGATATCCAAATCTATTACTCTTTTTCCTACCATACATTTCACAATTTTTTTATATTTTATATTTTCACAATCTAATATATTGTTTAAGTTTACTTCGTTTCTATGTAGGGTTTACGGTCAGATTATATAAAATATTCACTACATTAACAGACTACAACGATACTTGATGATATTTTTTTGCTTCCTTATAGTCTTTTGTCTCTTTGATCAGTTAGTAAACAACATGGAATCTGACATGTATATGTTTCTGTTCGAAAACTAACATTTTCAGAAAAATTTACCAGGATGAAAAACAAACTCATTTAGATTTTAATGATAATGATGATATCCATGGTGCTGGCAAAGTATACATAGAGAGTAAATTAAAAGCGTAATATGATAACCATGAACTAACATTGAAATCAAAGATTTAGATAACTAAATACATTTGTTCTGTTGTCACCTGAAGTCTGCAATTACGGAATACCATTGTGTTTAAATCTCAGTCTAGATATTTACACGTCCCTATATGCTTCAGTCCATCAGAAACTGACTTTATGGACTAAAAGCATTTTACGAGGCGGTGTCACACTCATCAGTTTTCTCTAATACATTACATTTAATATCAGCATCTATCGCTTGTTTGATCATATGCTAACTATGTTGCTATGTCTACTATAGGAAAGCTAACAGATTGTACATTTTCTCATAAGCCATGTGTTACACATAGAAATTAGTATGAAAAAACTGCTATGAGGCACACTTGGCCTTTGATAGGTAAATAAACGTCTCAAAAAGGTCTAGCAAACCCTACTAATAAATAACTATACGTATAACAGAAACATTCTGTGTTTGATTATGTTCAACTTTTTTTCCTAACACGGGTTCATTATTCGATAGTATCTGGTTTATTTCCTGTTAGAACAAATAACTGGTATGAACAGTACTATATTATTTAGGAATATAATAAAAAGACGCTGTACTTTATGCATTTCCTTCATTTTCAAGGTCAGCAATTATATGTATCCAACACCAAATATACATTTCCTTGTTCGTGAATTGGAATGGTTTTTAAAAGAATCCATCATTTCTGTATGTTTTGACCGATTCATTGCTAGTATTAATGATAATAATTCTTATAAAGTTATTTGATGTGTATATTTGTTCCTTTCAGAAATAGTTGAGATTTTTGATGGTTAATTTCATATCTTTTAAGGTAAATGGCATCACGAAATAATGTTGGTTAGTGTAAACTCATTGAATATCAGCAAATACTAGTATTAGAACAGTGTAAAAAAAAACGAAATTACGTTTGAAATAAATGCAATATATATTTAGTTTACCATCGTTTGTATTAATTCAGTGGGAAATTCACTCATTATAACATATGGTTGTATAACTTCGGCGTGAAGTCCAGTTGGATTCCTATCATTTCGGTTGTAAATGATATTCTATGACTAATGATCAAATGTCAGTAGAATCTGTATACAACTGAATCTGTATAATAAACGTGGTTGTTGTGTTTTTGAAGAAGGAATAGAATCTTCATCTGCCATCAGGTTTTGTTTTGTTTCCTACGTTGTGCAAAATCTCAGTGTCTTCCTATTCCAAGCACTAGTTTCCTTGATTATAACACCTAGATAGTTATTACATACTTATTTTGAACTTGACAGTAAAAGATTAGGCCATATGTTGTACTCAAATCACGAACAATAGATCAAAACTAATTTCAAAATCATACCTGTTTATTGTAATTTCGATTTTCAATAGTCTGTTCATGTATAATGTATGCTAACGGAAAATGTTCATCATCGCTAAATTATAAAAAGTGTCTATGTGATAAGACAATTCTATCACAGACCGACAATCACAGCAATAAAAGTAGGGATGGATCATAAGAATAAAACGCTATTGTTTATGAGTACTATAGGATAGGTATATTGTGGCTCACAGTGAAATTCACGACATGCGTTTCCTCTTACTTAAGACTCCTCAGTTGGTTGTTCCCAAATCCGTGGCGATATTCAGATCGAGACTAGAACCCAGTACTTCTCTTTCTAAAGCTAACGGGTTTATTCAAATCACTACTAATAACTATATATATATATATATGAATAAACATATATTTCTGACCTTTTTTAAACAAAATCTATTAACAGATTGATGGGAAATTATATTCGTTCATCAAAGGTATTCCCCAAGGATCGTGTATTAGTTCAGATTTGGCTAATATCTATTTAGCTCATTTGGATCGTCAATTACATAGAACACAAACTATTCTTTGGTCTCCTCACAAATTCCTACAAAATGATGTGTTTAAAACAACAGATATTCATCTAAATAAATGTTCAACTATTCTACGTTATTTAGACGATTATCTGTGTATATCAACATCTAAAATTGAATTACAAAATTTAATAAAGAGAATAAACACTTGTGAGGAATATTTACTGTTATGATTAAAATATTATATTTTTTTAATCTTTGAATGTTTTGTTTCGTGGGTGCACCCTGCTGACGAGTCCCACAATAGGATGAAACAGCCGTCCAGTGCTTCCAGGTTTTCAACGTTGGTCTAGCTTAGATAAACTCACGAATTCAACTAATAAATTACTACAACCTCCACAAACCCGTTCTGACAATTTTTTTTCATTCCGAAAACAGAATAGTCTTTTGCTTTAATCTGGTTATGCATTAATTTTCCTGTCTATAGGTAACAGTACCTCGATTGGACTTGATAGTTTCAAATAAATTGAGGATTGATTAAAGAGTTAATAACTATCCTGTTTATATATTGTTTAGTGTGTTTAAGGAGTCATGATCTAGTTTTGATGTCATCAAATCATCGATTTCCCCCAAGATTTGATACATTCATATTCTATAATTAGTTTATATGCGCAACTGAATAGTCCCAATTGGGATACCATCGGATCACCGAATACCTCTTTCATCCTAGCATGGGACTACCCAAGAGTGTACAGCTATGAGCCAAACGGTTCCATAGGATGAAAAAGGTTTTCAATATTTTAAATAGAGCAAGAATAAAGATTGGTGCAGAATAATATGAATTCATTTTATTTCGTTAGGTTCTCATCAGCTGCTTACAACCTAAATTATTTGAAAATTCAAATTATTACAGATATTGACATATTTATACATAAGAGTGTGATTAAGGATCAATACATGTGTATGATGATGTAGCGAAGATTCAAATAGAGTTAATGAGCTCATAAAATGTTTGATTCGAATAAATAAATAAAATTTGAGATGGAAAGTTCTGGTACATTGAAATAGTGATTAGAACTCATGAATCGACACAGAAACTCAATTTGAGAATTTATTTGATCAAATTAAAGAGTTGCACCCAGTTAGTGAAGAAAAGAAAGGCTGGTTTAAATCTAAACTAGTCGATATTGCAAACCAATATCTTGTTTCACCCGCACCACAGTCTAAGCTTTTATCCAAAGACCACCAAACAGCATTACGAAATATTAAACGAAATGACGATATAATTATATTACGGTCAGACAAAGGCTCAAGTGTTGTTCTAATGAACAAAACAGATTATGTTTTTAAGATGAAGTCCATCTTGAATGACCATATGAGATTCAAGTTAGAGAAAAGTAACAAAGACTTAACTGATTCCATTGAGAAAAGAATCACCAAAGTACTCAGAGATCTTCTGAAAAAGAAGATGATCGATAACTCTACTTACAATAATCTACGACCTCGTGGGTCTCGTTTGCCCCACATGTATGGATTACCGAAAATACATAAACAAGGTTATCCTCTTAGACCTATTTTGTCAATGATCAATTCACCATACCACAAAGTTGCACGATGGTTGGCAGATAAGTTAGAACCAGTGAGTCAACGATTAGCCACCTATACACTAAAGGATTCATTTGTATTTGCTGACAGCATGAATCACATAAATATTGCCGGTAAGTTTATGGTTTCTTTTGATGTAACATCTTTGTTTACAAAAATACCACTTCTTGAGACCATAGACATAATTTGTCAACATTCTGACATCCTACCTCTACCAGTACCAGAATTCAAACGACTATAACTCATTTGTACAAAAGATGTTCAGTTCCAGTTCAACGATATCATATACAAACAAACCGATGGTGTAGCGATGGGAAGTCCGTTAGGTCCTGTCCTAGCAGATATTTTCATGGCTAACCTCGAAAGAACCAAACTCAAACGAGCGATTGATGAAATGACGTATTATTCGAGATATGTTGATGATACCTTCATCGTATGTGATAATAAACAACATGCAATAAATCTGCTAGAGTTTTTCAACGAAGCACATCCGAATATCCATTTCACTATGGAACATGAAAAAGAAAACAAGTTCCATTTTCTCGATATCGCGATGAAAAGAAGAAAAGATGGTACAGTTCAACGTTCAGTTTATAAGAAAGACACATGGAATGGTAGTTATCTTAATTTCAATAGCTTTTGTCCAATCAGTTACAAAAAGGCACTGGTCAAAACACTGTTTTACAGAACAGAAAGAATATGTACTTCCGATGCACTAGAAGAGGAAGTTATGAATGTTAAAAAATGTTTGAAGAATAACGGATACCCACTGAAATTTATTGAGAAATACGGCAAATGCGAAGATAAAAAACCGAAAGAAATTACAGCAAATAAAAAGCCTATTTTTATTAAACTTCAATTCAAAGGTGACGATGTCACAGGAGCAATCAATATGAGATTAAAAACTGCACTGACAAGAACTTATCCTGCAGCGAAATTGATTGTCCTGTCCAAAACAACATGCTCTTTGACACAATCAAAGGTCGACAGGTATCCCTTTCATGTTACCACCAACTGTGTATACAAATTTACATGTACCTGCCAAAGCAGTTACATTGGTAGAACAGAAAGGAGAGCCTACGTCCGATTCAAAGAACATATTCCGAAAAGTTTAAGGTTAAATGGATTGAACTCATTCAACAGTGCTATCGCAAGACATCTCCTTGATACAGGACATAAAGCTGATATACTGAAGTCCTTCAAGGTGATTAACAAACAATCAAACTCGAACCTTTTGAAATTCGCTGAAGCGTTAGCAATCAAACGTTTAAAACCAGATCTATGTATACAAAAAGAGACAGTAATAAATCTTTCTTTACCCTGGTAACAATAACCGCCACCCTTTCTATTCATTTGCTCCTATTTATTTATTTATTACGTCATTATTGCAACTCTTTCTGAAATATAAATTACATCATACATAAATGATTGATTTCAATTCATATTTTCTTTATTACCATTAATCTATTTTCATGAGTTCTAATCACTATTTCAATGTTCCGGAACTTTCCATCTCAAACTTTATTTATTTATTCGAATCAAACATTTTATGAGCTCATTAACTCTATCTGAATCTTTGCTTGCTAGATCATCATACACATGTATTGATCCTTAATCACACTCTTATGTATAAATATGTCAATATCTGTAATAATTTGAATTTTCAAATAATTTAGGTTGTAAGCAGCTGATGAGAACCTAACGAAATAAAATGAATTCATATTATTCTGCACCAATCTTTGTTCTTGCTCTATTTAAGATAATAAAGGGAACTATGTGTATGAAATTTTCAATATTTCTTGATTTTCACTAGTATTCCATCCGTGATGAGTAAACTTTGCAAATTAAGCTGATCTCCACTACACATCTGCTTTATCTTAAAATTTCTATAAAGAAAATAAATTCATGAAAACTATGGAGGTGGACCGGTTTTATAAAATACTCTATTTTTTGCTCTTAGATAGAATATTCCATCTTCATAACATTTGTTGGGGTTTAAACAGCCGAAAAACATCACAAACACATAAAAACGGTACAGATCAAAGCGGGTTACTTGATAAATGAATTACATTATGAGTGAGGATAAGTTAATCATAAGATATTAAAATGAAGATAAATTATGTTTGTTCTCTCCAAAGTTGATAGAACATTTTGATAATAAAATAGATGGTACGTAGATTCAAATAAATACTAGAATTTGAAGTAGATAATCTTTAGGTTATAGGTTCACAATAGTCGGTCCACTGAGACACGGGACCTAACCAGTCACGGGGAGCATCATGTCTATATACAAATGTGCGTTTGAAGTTTAAGTCCATATCAGTCCTTCAATTTATTTATTGAATTGACAGTATTGGGTTCAACTCTTATGTAATTATGAAAATCAGTTGAAATTACAATGATTCCGAAATTAAAATAACTCCAGCTACAAATCAGCTATACATAAATATTGCTTTTTCAACCTAGGTCATATCAAACTGTCCAGTTCTTTATTCATATAATTCGAAATGCTTTTGATACTAACTGAATCTTACTACTTTCTTTCTCTCTGTCATCATTTATTTACCGAATATGTAAACAATGTGAAAACTCTATACACATTCACAATTCATCATTTTTATTTAGCTGAACTTAAGAAAATCAACCTGTATACTTATTGACTAATAAATTCTTGAAGTTGAATAGAGATTTACTCACGTTCGATAGTATACTGTTATAAGGTATACTGACAGAATCATTATCAATATTTGAACATGTACCCATAAACTTACTTACTTACGTCTGTTACTCCCAATAGAGCATAGGCCGCCGACCGTCATTCTCCAACCCACTCTGTCCTGGGCCTTCTTTTCTAGTTCGATTCAATTGTTGTTCATTCTCCTCATATCTGTCTCCATTTCCCGGCGTAATGTGTTCTTTGGTCTTTCTCTTCTCCTTCGGTCATGAGGATTCCAAGTGAGTGCTTGTCTTGTGACGCAGTTGGGTGCTCGCCTCAATGTGTGTCCTATCCACTTCCAGCGCTTCTTCCTCCGCTGGGATCTGGTTTATTTTCTCCCACAGTAGGTTGTTGCTAATAGTGTCCGGCCAACGGATCCGAAGTATTTTGCATAGACAACTGTTAATAAACACCTGAATCTTCTGGATGATGGCTTTCGTAGTTCTCCAGGTTTCTGCCCCATACAGTAGAACTGTCTTGATATTTGTATTGAAAATCCTGACTTTGGTGTTGGTTGAAAATTGTTTTGAGTTCCAGATGTTCTTCAGTTGTAAATATGCTGCTCTTGCTTCGCCGATCCGCGCCTACACATCTGCATCAGATCCACCCTGTTCATCAATGATGCTGCCCAAATACGTAAAGGTTTTTACATCTTCCAAATCTTCTCCGTCAATTGTGATTGGATTGGTGCATTCTGTGTTGTATCGGAGAATCCTGCTTTTCCCTTTGTGTATATTGAGACCTGTTGATGCTGAGGCTGCTGCCACACTGTTCGTCTTCTCCTGCATCTGTTGTTGCGTTTGGGATAGAAGGGCCAGATCGTCTGCGAAGTCTAGATCATCCAACTGCGTCTTAGATGTCCATTTTATCCCGCGTTTCCCTTCAGGTGTTGACGTCCTCATGATCCAGTCGATCACCAGGAGAACGAGAAAGGGTGAGAGTAAGCAACCTTGCCTAACACCGGTCTTCACTTTGAACGACTTTGTCAATTGTCCTCCATGCACGATTTTGCAGTGTAATCCATCATATGAGTTCTGTATGATATTGACTATCTTCTGAGGCACGCCGTAGTGTCGAAGAAGTTTCCATAGTGTTGTTCTGTCCACGCTATCAAATGCCTTTTCGTAGTCAATGAAGTTGATGTAGAGTGGTGAATTCCATTCAAGTGATTGTTCCACAATGATCCGTAGAGTTGCAATTCGGTCTGTACACGACCTATCCTTACGGAATCTTGCCTGTTGGTCTCGAAGTTGGGCGTCTACGGAGTCCTTCATTCTGTTTAATAATACTTTGTTGAAGACTTTTCGTGGTGTTGAGAGAAGAGTGATGACTCTGTAGTTATCACACGTTCTGAGGTCGCCTTTCTTTAGCATCTTGATCAGGTGTCCTTTTCAGTCTGTTGATACTTATTCTTCATCTCAAATCTTGCTGAACGTATGAACTTAATGCCATTTATATTTTTACAATGTCTTATCAATCAAACAGTGATAAACGCTATATATTCTTCCTTAGTATTTACTATTATATCAATAATCATAACTTGGTTAAAATCAACCAACTTTTAATTAATCTAAAATATAGATTGTATAAAAGATTTGATTTTGTCAGAAAAATTAATTTGTCACTGTATATATATATTACATCATAATTTCTTCATTTGAGTATAAGTATTCATTGTATTTCTCTTTATGTTTTTCTTGTTTTCAGCACTTAACTCTTATGGATTATTATTGAATGAACAAAAACTGCAAACTAATCTATATGACTCAAGTAAAGTTTAAAGATTTTAAATAATCCCTACGTTACATTTTCCGTTTTCAACTGACCTCTATTAGAAAAATATCATTATAAAAATTAGGTCAATGAAAAATGTGTATTAATTTTGTTATTTTTTTTATTATCAAAAGAATCCATCTGCAAATTAGTTACTAGTTATCACAAGAATAAACACTGTCGATATCCAGCTTATTAGGTAAGGTGGAAGTGATTACTTGATACTCTTCTAAATTCAAAAATTATTCGTTTTACGTTAGTTACTGTTATAACTTGTGAACCTGCGTGCCCTGTATATTGTATAACGCAACGATACCGCCAATCAGAGAGCAGCGAATTACCGATTGAACCAGTGACACATAAATACGTGCGTACAGCCTAGAGTCCTGATTGGCCTTGCCTCCCTGTCTAGCCCAACCAGTTGAGTCCAGAACACCAATCTTAGCCTCTGCAGTATGAATCATTTATTTCAAACATACGGGGCTTATATACCGATCAAACAGACCACAACGACCATAAAATAGAAAATAACATGTGTACAATATTTGGCCCAAAGCGGCTGTGAATAAGGGAGATAATAATTAATAGACAGGCCATAACTCAAGAATGGTAAATCGTATAGTAATAGTCTATGTGTCAAATTAAAGCTTATAATAAGAGAGACATGAATATGGACAGTTTAGTTACATAACAATTATACCATAAAAATACACTCATAGTATTGGTCCATAAATAGATCCCAAGAATTACCATTCATTATTCTTATCGGGATATAACAGTTACAAGCAAAATTATTTATCTCATTGTATTGTAGAAAAATCTCTTCGTCGAATAGTTTATAAGTTGGTTACATGAAACTAGATCAGTAGAAAAATGAACAAAACTAAGATTTTGGATGAGCTTTATTATGATTTGTTGTTTATACATTTGATATTGATCAATATATCATATCGTGATTATTATGAACGACCTTTAAGAATAGTTTGAATAATGAGTGATGTTATTATCAAAGTCCTTATTTCTGTAATCAAAAAATAGGATAAGTTATTGACTGATTTACAAAAAAAGAAATTTGTATACATACACGCGCGCATTCATCATTCATTTGGACCTTTACTGACCTCCTGTATGAGTGATATATTTACAATGGATTGATCACTGATCAGTAATCATTATCATGTTTATAGTCCTTTATTACTGATTGAATTCTTTTTTTAATTTGTCCAATCAACATATAAAGTCCTGGACCACTATCATTCAGGTATTTATTCCATTTAGCATTATTCTTCATTGTTTTTACTATCTTAATAATAATATCTTGTCAGTCAGTCAGTCAGCTACAACGTAGGACCAGGCACATTTATGCATCGATCCAAGTTGTCATACCTCATTAACACAACAAGATGGACACCGGATTCATGAAAGTAGTTAATTCAGAGGTGGTAATATATAAAAGAAAGATTGCAATAAGGATATAGTACAAGAAGAAAGAATTAGTTCGTAGAAAGAAAGACATGAAGCAATTTTAATCTCTTAGTTTAAGGGAAGATAGAGAGTGTATACACCGACGCCATTGTGATCGATTCTGAGCCATGTCACCAAGAGTCTCCAACCATTGGTTACGACAGTCACGCGGACCCCAACCAAGTAGTCTGCATCTACCAACATGGCTCAGACTAAAAGTTAGTGACTTCAAGGACTGATGCCACGTTTTGGTTTGGCCGTCCCTGACTTTCTTCCAACCATCGCCAACACTAGTCAGCATTGCACGTTGTGGTAATCTGTGTTCAGGCATACGTAACACGTGGCCTAACCATCTCAGTCGATGAAGATTCACAACCTCATCAACTGATTTACCATCCTTCCCTAATACCCTGCGTCTAACCTCACTATTACTTACCCAGTGATCCCAGCAGACGCCAGCAATATTTCTAAGGCATCTGTGGTCAAATACTAGTAGCTTACGAGTGCCTTCTACTCTTAATGGCCATGTTTCGCTGCCGTAAATTAAAACAGAACGAACTGCCGCGCAGTATACTCCTTTTATTGATAGATGGATATCTCGCCTTCGCCATAGGTGACGTAAGTTGGCAAAAGCCAAACGAGCTTTTCGAATCCGTGCTGAGATTTCGTCAGACACCAACCCATTAGGGCTGATCAGACTTCCAAGATAAGTGAAGTTGTCAACGCGTTCGACTACTTCACTCCCTATCCTTAGTTCAGGTGTTGACGCAGACCAGTCCTGAAGCAACAACTTGCATTTAGAGGGAGAGAAGCGCATTCCAAACATCCTGGCATTGTTGCTCAGTGCTACCAGAAGACTCTGCATTTTGTCAACGTCTTCACCAAACAGGACTATGTCATCCGCGTATTCTAAGTCGGTAAGTGGACCTCCTGGTAGGAGATCAATACCCGAGAACTCAGTCGACGAGAAAGTTATTTCCATCAGTAGATCTATGATGAAGTTAAACAAAAATGGGGAAAGTGGACAGCCTTGACGGACACCACTTGAGGTTGCAAAAGTAGATGACAGTTCGCCATAAGCTCTGACTCGACTAGTAGTGTTCGAGTAAAGAGCCTTTACAAGGTTTATGTACTTCTGAGGTACGCCTTTCGATGACAGACACTGCCACAGAATCTCGCGGTCTACCGAGTCAAATGCAGCTTTCAAGTCAAGAAAGACCACCATTGTCGGACGTCGATAAGTATGCCTCTGTTCTAGAACCTGACGAATGGTGAATATGTGGTCGATGCAGCCACGACCAGGTCTGAAGCCAGCTTGATTCGTTCGTGTAGGGGGTCGCCATGTTAGACGATGTCTCTCCTTATGCTTAAAATTTGTGTTTGCTAAAAGTAAACGATTGTCTGAGCACAGTTGCAGCAGACGATCACCATTATCTGTTCGTTGTGCCGGAATACTAAAATACCCACCTAAATGCCTTTCTGTTTGGTTTAAACTACCTATCTGGGCATTAAAGTCACCTGCTACGAGTACTATGTCTGAACGTTTAGCTTTCTGAAGAAGTTCAGATAGCTTTCTGTAAAATTCATCTTTCACTTCATCTGAGCTGCAGTCAGTGGGAGCGTAGGCAGAAACGACAAAAGGGCAACGATGTGTGTCCCTATCCTTCCGAGTTCTTACGGAGCCGTTTAGCCGAACAGCACATAAACAACTGTTAACGGGGATCCACTCTAACAATGCTTGTTCACCCTCATGCTTAGTGCTATCCCTACTCCTGCCAGTCCACGAGAGCTGGCCATCGGATCACCAGATACTTGGAGAGTGTATCTCGTTGGCTCTCCGTGTTGCCGAGGTCAGGTCAAGTGAATGACCACACTGGGATCCTGTATGCGTGTTTCAGAGACACAGCATACATCAATGGTACGAGATTCTAGGGTTCTAGCCAAGGAAGCCTGTTGACCGATTTGACATAGGGTGCGTACATTGAAGGCTCCAATGTGTAGTTTGGAGCGAGGTTTCAGTAGACCTGGGACAGTGTTTTGAGCACTAGAATCGTTGGCTATGGTGACATTTGAGGAGGAAGCCGAAAAAGGAAGTTTAGAGGTGAAAGTCGATGTAGGTGGAGTAATAGGAAGTGAAGACTGAGGTTGATTATGAATACAGTGGCCTTGAAGGCTGTTAGAGGTATGAGGGTGGTTATCACTTCCAGGTTGTCCACACCGTGGAGGGGTTCTTTTGGAGGTACCTGGAAAGGAAATTAGATTAGAGGTGGTCTAAGTGACCTGGGAGCGTGACCGCAGTGCCCAAGGGACAACTGCTTGAGGTCGGTCACACACGACCTTTTTATTGGGTAATTTTGTGTTAGCTCCATACTTGTTCAGACCTTACCGCCGGAGATGGATATCCGTGAGATAAGGCGAGGTGTGACATTTCTAGGGTCGACCTTTTATAACCACACCCTTCCTTTGTGGGAAGGCAACATTGCTGTTATGCTGGTTGTCTGAAGGAAACACCTTACTGCTCTCACACCTCTGTACAGTCAGCAGTACGACTTCATCCTCAGATCTTGGGTTTGTTGCTTTTAGTCTTACCGCTCTTCAACCGGCCTGTCTGACATGGTAGGACATTGAGGAACAGTTGTTCCAGCCAGTATAGCTCGGTTGCTTCATCACGATAGGCAAGCCCGACCACCACGTCAAGGTAGCAACAACGGTCGGGAATATCTTGTATAAAGTGAAAAGTCTTACTTTACGATATATGTATCCATTGTGTTGTAATCACTTATGTATCCTTTTCTTTGCATTATATAGATGTCCCTATAAAGTGGCTTGGGATTGAAGTACATTCTAGTTTAGCAATAACTTTACCCAAAAATAATAGTCCACGTAAGTTTTTAAATTCATCTATAATATAAATAACATTACATGACTTTAACATTAATTTATTAATTTATTCAGGTCTTTGCTAAAGTTTTAAATGTAAACAATTTAAAACTATCTTTTAACACAAATTGACACCAAATAAAAATAATTACTACGGGGTTATTTTGTTTTAATTTGAAATTCTGTAAGAAAAAGCATGAACAGCTCCCTTCTCCTCACTCAACAGATTCAAATTCAAGACTTCTGGTTCACATGGAGAGTATAATACTAGTGCTTGTGCCTAGTGTTCAATATATTCTTCAATCAGCTGATATCAGTTTGTAATATGAATTAATTATTAGGTTGGATTGGATTTCTACCAAGCTACTACTCTGGTGAATTAGCAATTGATTCACTCTAGTTATTTGTCGAAATTTGTGTTCATTTACTTGTATGATGATGACGATAACGAAAAAAAACCCAACTACAATAACGATATGGAAATTTACTCATCGTTATCTCAACAATACCTTACGTAGAACCATTACTGAAACACAGTAATAGTTATGTTACGACCTTGATCTATATGTCTACTCGTCCATTCTTAATAAGCAGAAGGGGAAAGAGAGTTGTTTTGAGCTACTCTACGACCTTGACACACTTTATCACTTAGCAAAACTCTGAGAATAGAAAAGTGTATGGGAGTAGTCCATTCATCTACCAAAAGCTTAAAATTTACTGAATAAAGCAGACACGAAACTAAATCTTAGAACTTTACAGATGTTGAATTGAGCGAGACAATATCCCAAAGCATAGCTTTCGTTGTTTGTCATTTCTTCTTTACTCGTCCGTTTGAATCAAACAATAATATTAGTGTTATTTTTTTTGTTTTTCACTATACTTTCTGTTATTATGTTGTACTTTGAATGTTAACTTTTAGCAAGATTTTGTCGATTTTCTGGTCAATCGTTATCAGCCAATGATTGCATGAGACGATTATGTAAATTTCGTCTCCATTGTCCAACTTGGCGTTTCACTTTCCACAAGATAATCTATAATACTAACATTAGGCAAAATGTATTTATTTGTAAAAATGCAAATATCAGAAAAACAGATTATTTGTTACAAATCAACGCTAATCGATTAGGCAACAAAATAGCTGATATTGTATGGATATCTTTGAAAACTTCACCGGAAAAAGATCGATTACTTCTACCTTCTGTATCTCGAAGACTAGCAAGTAAGCGAAAAAAATCGATGCTGTAGTATGAAAAGAGGTTTTTCCCCCTTTTTAATTAACATGAAAAATTTTCTTCAGATCACAAAACCCAAGAAACTGCAATTGATTCCGCGAAATCCATTTCAAAATAGGCTTATCTAACAGACCCTTATATCATTTATTATATAGCCGTAATGTTGAGAGCTGGTATACGTGTATGAAAATTAGATAGGGCTAGTCAACTTTCTGATTGGTAATTCACAGGTCGGTATCTTAAATACAGGTCCCACTTAGTTCTCATACTTCTTATTTTTTCATCCATAATTAAAAAATATTGAGTTATTAAACTCTTGCTCTCCATAATATCTATTGTCTGGAGATCTACGTTTTTGCGCTTGAATTGATAAATCAAGCTAAAAGAAAATGTGAGTTTCAGTATAGTTCAGAAAAACAACTGTCAGATCACTGAATATATAGAATCTAACTACCAACTAGGTTTCAATTTCACTTCATTTATTTAATATTGTTCGTTATTGTTTCATGTAAATAACAGATAAGTATATATTCTTAACTGATTACATTCTATAACCTATTAGATAAATTCGTTTCTTCAAATTGAAATCTGAACAAAAACTGAACCGATGAGGATGCGCGGATAAACAGTTATTGGCAATAATCACAAGAACGTTGAGTAATTAACGAAACAATCAGTCGTTCACATCTTTATGTTGTTGATTAAGGTCTCAACAACAACTAAGCAGAACAATCTGAATTGATTTTGTTTCACGGTCTTTCTTCAACCACTTACAAGCGTACTTGTTTTCGGGTGTAACATTAAATTATGATAATACACAATCCTTATCAGTTATATATATATGGGAATAAACGTATGCAGGGTTATTTGAAGATGAACATTGAAGACCTACAAAAGGTGAAGCAGTGATTACATAGCATAAAAATAAGAAAAGATAGATTACGTAATAACTGCTGGTATTTGTCAAGTCTACATAAATCTAAGATTTCCAAATTTATACACGTTGTTATTTCAGTTGTTTTCCATCATCAATGTAGATTATATCATAATTCAATACTATATTTCTATACGAATACGCTTGTAAGTGGATGAAAAGACCATAAAATAAAATCGATTCATATTGTTTTGTCTTAAATGTTCTTCTAGCTTTATTTCAGTTCATAAACGTAACTAACTATATCTTCTTTATATACTTTATGATGTTTGCTTGTGTTTTAATCATTAACTTAATATAGTCAACGAATTTTCAGACTTAAGCAGGTGTTTCTATCAACTTTTCTTGCCTCACATAAGTTTAGTTGTATGATGTTTTTCTTTAGAAATACTGTTACAAAGGAAAGCATGGACTGTCATTAGTTGAATATTGAATAACATTTTATTAAATGACAGTATATTCCAGTACATAAATAGGGTGATAATGACAGTGATTACAGAATACAATGAAATCATATGTAGTTCTTGCTTAATTGAAAATTATGTAGGGAACCAGCTGCATGAAATACCAGTATTTCAGAGGTATTGTTCAAAATAGTTTATTTGTTTAAAAAGAAGTTTCTGTGCATGTATTTAAAGTTGTTGACAAACAGTTCAACGCTGTTCTATTAAGATTTATTGGATCCATACTGGTTAGAATGGTTAAATCTGATTTTCGTATTCAGAGAGTCACTGACTGAGTATCTAAAACAAAGTTCAATTCTTTATTTGTTCTAATGAATTCATATCTTTCTGAAAGAAATGTTATTTTGCTCCACTAAATTAATAGAATTAACTTGTATTCGCTTGTGTATGTTTCAAATTACAGTTGCTATGATTCATCTATCAAATATGATACATATACATACTGATGATTCATTCAAATGATAATTATTTTCAACAAGCCCACACACTGGATCAACCTGTTTCCTGTAAATATTCAAATTTTATCTAATTAGACAAATAAGAAAAGAAAATAACTATAAAAAAGCACATTGTTTTCCTCCCCATAATATTTATTTCCTTTATTTGTATAATTTACTCAGATTACAGTGTTATAGTATGTACTAATCTTCAGTGATATGAAAATCTGTAAATTTCATTCGTTATATCTCAAGTCGATTTCGGTACATCAATTAAAAATCATTGATTTAGTATATAATTATTTTTTATGAGATCAGTTTTTCACATTACCATGATGTACACAAACATGACTTTAAATCACTCATGGAGATATGAAATTGACCAACCAGAGGTAAAAGGGAAATCTTAAGCATTAAGTGTAGATACTGCTGAAGTAAGTTGAAATCACTAATGATTCATTGATCTTTAGACCGTGTTTCAGAATCGCATATTAATTAAGGTATTTAGTTATAAAGCGGACCATGTAAATCAGCGAACACATTGTTACAATGAATATTACTGGCAATACAATTGATTGATGAGTGTTTAAATTGAATTCGCTTCTTACATATGAATTGGATACATCTGTCTTTGTAAAGTTCCTTGATATCAACGAATACTTTAATCACTTAACATATTAATATAATCCACACAATGTTAAGTCACTTAAACTAGTAGTTACATTGCAACTCTACCAACATAATTCGACCAGTACTAAAGGAGTAGACAGATATAACATTGATCACTGCCTCATGATCAATCAATTATAAATACCTCTCTCTGAAATTCCATTATTAAGAAATGTCAAATATAAAAAATGTTAATATTCGAGGTGTTTCTAATCGCATAGTAATTATTTTTGACTTGAATTAATTCGATGATAGAAACATTTCAACCATGTTTTCATTTATTTATTTCATGTTTCTGTCATATTAAAAGTAGCTGTTGACAGATTCAGTTCAAAAAAAGTTATTCACCACAGGCAATCAAATATAGTTTTACAATATCGTTAATTTATTGATGTTAGATATGTACACTATTATATTCTAATTCAATGGCCTAAAGGTTATTCATTCGTGTGTGAGACTGAAAGTCTTGGATTCAATCGTCTATAGTAAGATCATGGATTTATACTATTGAATAGTCTAACATTGGGACAGAAAAGCTATCTAATGCTTCTTGACTCTCAGTGATTGTCTATCTAGTATCAATGTATAGTGTAATTTATAGAAATATAATTTATTGTTTTACTTAAATTATTTCGAAGAATCAGTTTTATAATTTGTTTTAATTTATTTTTTAAATAATTATAACCTTATTTTATTTTATTAATTCAGAGGTAATATGTAGGTGTATATCTGTAAATATTGGCTTTAATCGTTACTGGTTATATCATTTAACTGTGAATAGTTTTATTAAACGTTTACTTCCACATAAAGGTGAATTAAAATGGTTAATTAATTGGATGCAACAATTTAATCATTTAAACAAAAAAAATGTTTTTATATTTTATAATAAAAAGAAAACAATCGCTATGTAATTAATTATCATAAACAAAATAAATTTTCTCATTTTATTTTATGGATAAGAATGATTGTTTTGTTTTACTCTTGAGAAAATTCGATCAAATAGACAGTTTTTGTCAATTATAACACAACATTATGAGATTGTATAGTGTATATATTTTTTCTTGTATATGCATTATATTTCTCTGTTTGTTTAAATAATAATGGCTTAGAGTAATTACATTGAGATCATGAACCGATGGATGTTAGAACATCATTGAAAACTTCGAAGCAATGGACGGCCGTTTCGTCCTGTCGCGGGACTCTTCAGCAATGCGTATCCACGATCCCGCTTGCGGGATTCGAACCCAGGGCCTTCAGTCTCGCGCGCAAACGATTAGCCTACTTGACCACTGAGCTGGCATCAAACGGTATTAATGTCTAATCTCAACTAATCCACGAAATTGCGCGACCATCTTCCATTGTACTGAGGTACATACCTGTTTCTACCCAACATGGATTAGCTCCATGATCTCAATCAAAAACTTAATAATCTCCACAACCCCTATACTGATAGTTAGAGTATTTAGTTGTTGATATTTTTTACTAAAATCTGATCAGTCTTGATTGGTATATATTCATCTTGAGGGACTGCTTTGATATAACAATTATAACACAAGTTTAGTTGGACTGCGGTGACATTAAATTGCTCATCACAAAATGTACATATTACTAAAATGGTTGAGTTTCGGTCAAAATATCAACATTGGGTTATCCCAAACCATTAAAAAGAAGAAATAAATTCGAATTTATTCTCAATGTACAAATGAATATCTGTTGGGACTCAAGAACTAAATGGGTAACTCATTGCCGTTTTAAAGAAAGGTATTGGGTTTGAGTCCCATAGTGAACATCAAATCTGGGATGCAGTTGTATCCAGCCGATGAGTCTAAAATGAGACGAAACGTCCTTCCAGGATTTCACTGCTAGCTATATTCTACCTATTCTACATAAAGTATTCTCAGTGTTTTTAATTCTGGCTCAGCAGATATGATAAACTGCAGCAATATCAACGAATGGCTTACATTATTCATTGACCGTTATATTGAATTTTGTACTGGCATTCTGTTCTTTTAAGCTGATTAACAATTATTATATATCACTTAGTATGAAGGACACAGTACAAACTTATGTTGTGTACAATCGTGTGACATGTTTTTATCTGTTCAGTGTACTTTATTTCAATGAATGGTTTTCACATAGCTCTAGAATAGTTTTCGGATTTATTACTTGATTAAATCTCGGAAATAATTTATGTCATGATGTTTATCCAGTTTATTAAGTTATAATTGTACTGACCTTTATTAAAATGTGTAAGCAAGCGTTTTCTTGTAGACAGAGGTGTCTTAACGTGTGGTTATAATCCATAACTGAGATTGTCATTAGTATTTCTAAACTCTACTTGTAAACGATAATCTTACTCATTTAAGTAATTATTCTTAAAAGCGATGTGAAGATTATTGACTTCAAAATGACACTAGATTTCGCATTTTTATGTGAATTATTATTATTTCTGCTGCCAGTTCATATTCTATTTCAATAATGTTCGTTAAATTGTTCTAAAGAATCACTCTCAACCAGTGATTTATTCATCACCTTTCTCTGTATCAGATGATTTCTTTCCTTATGCTTAAAGTTGATGCTTAAGTGACATTGTTCAAAGTTAGCCTCGAATGAGGAGACGCATTCACTTTTTGTCCTCCTTAAAACCTTGAGTTTTGAAATTAACTGACACCTTTTTCTTACACGAATCAATTCTTTCTTCTAAAATCATACTTTTCCTATCACCGATGCTGCTACTGTACTGAACGCTAACACCAGTTGGGTCGATCGAATGTATTTGAACACAAATTTACAAAACATCTTAGTAAAATCCGAGAACCATACAGTAAATGCTTCATTTGCAAAATGTCAATTAATTATCTCAGACTTGATTGTTCCTTCATTTCCACACCAATCAGTCTCTGTTCTCGTTCTCTTCTTTTCTATCTTCTCAACCTTCAGTCGCCAGAAATTCCACTTTCGGTTGGTGGTACATATCTGTTGACATCAGTAGGACATACCACTCTACTACTCTAGTATTCATTTTGATAATTTCATCTCGCTGTGCTGATATGTTGTAGCAGCTTAAACAGATTCACATATGTGTCAGGTTTTATATTGCTTATGGCTGATGGACAACAGATTAAGTTTACTTGTTAATTTGACCATATTTCAATACTTAGAACATTAACTAAACCTATCCTGTATTTGGGCTTTGAATACCTTAAATTATATTTTGCAGTGAACTTCTATCACACTGAACTAGATATTTATTTAGATATGTTCATAATGACCCCATGAAGAGTATGTTATTTAACACAAACTTCTGACAAATTGAAAAGTCGTTCCTATTCGATCAAACCCAGTTTATATTTCTCAGTCAATAAACTGGAATTTATTTCTGTTCTCTTATTAGAGTCTGACTGAAATAACCTCGATCAGGAGGGCGTAGGCTGACAATTATCAATAAGCTTAGTGGGAATAATATTCATCGTTCCAGTTCCAGGTGAATAAATGCTTCTTCTAATATTATAAATTTACCTCAGACAATCGAAAATAGTCGCGAAATTTCATGGATTAGTTGCAGTTAGATATTAACACCGTTGGATGCCAGCTCGGTAATCTAGAGGTTAAACGTTCGTGCTATACTGAAGGTCCTGGGTTCGAATCCGGCATGCAGACTCGTGGGTGCACGCTCCACGTTCCATACTAGAGCGAAACGGCCGTCCAGTGCTTTCAGGTTTTCAATGGTGATTTAACATTAATCGACTCATGATCTTAATCACAAAATTAACAATCCCCACAACCTCATTCTTATGCTTGTGATCAGTGATTTTCTCATAATATTTACATATATGCCCGCTCCCTTCAATCCACTACGAAACATCTAGAACATCATAACTTTATTGGTGTTGAAAATTCCCCTTATTAATACCCTCATTTTTGGGCAACCAGTGATGTAATAACTCACATTAGATCAAAGCCCTTATTCATGCCTGCAGAGATACATGATTTTAGGCAGATTCGTTGTGCTGTGTTGGTTGAATTGAGTAATTAAACCTATGTGCAGTAATTCCATCGTCATATCTAAACAACACTTTCCTAAATATCTCTAATTTGAGTTTCAAATGCATCAGGATGTGATTTTAACAGATGGGCTGGTGTGTATTGACTACAATACAATAAAAAATAATGTTTCGACGATTTGTTCCGGGCTATGCTGTGCTATATTTATTTACTATTATCCGCTAGCTTCTAATGACCATATGTATCGTAAGGCCAGTTAAATGTCACTGGGTCCTAGTCAAATCACCATGCAGTTAGATCACTGAATATCGAATAGGTCGTCAATCCCTGTCAACGACAAAACTAACGCAAATGTCATGAACTGACGCACGCGATGGTCGTTTCGTTATCTCCTCTGTACTCATTCTTACTAATATATTTCCTTAATAACGTCATTTGTGTTATGCGGTCCTCAAAGCAGCCTTAATACTTTAATACGTCAAAGGGGTAATCCACGTTAGATTTTGACCGAAAAGTGTAACTTCGAAGATAGCTTTTGGTCACACCATTCCCGTCTAACTCGAGTAGACCTCCAATCATTCGACATAGATCATCTACGTTGGCGATTTACAGTATAGTACACAAAATGCATATTACTATATTTATCTTTGAAATTTCGGTAACTATATATCTTCGGTTTTTCTCGCAACAGGATTGTGCAAAATTCATTTGTATGTGCCGGTAAGAATATATGAGAGAATCCTCCCGTGTGTCCTTTACATTCAACTATTTGCTAGTTCTTTCTCTATATGCATCGTTTCCATACTTGTTTATATTTTTTGGTCTCTTTGCGATTACTATAACTATATTGTTTACAACATCTGAATTGTAACTCACTCCTTATTATGTTGGGTCTTTTAATAACTGCTCTATCCTTATTTTATTGGACAGCGATTTATGACAGTCACCGTAACGTATTGCAGTACTTCTGTAGCTATCTTGAAAACTGATCGCTCCTGTTAAAAAGTAGGCAAGTTTGTGGGGCCATTTAGATCTGACGGTGTTTGTTGGCGGACTATCCACTTTAGTGGCCCGGGATCTGACTCCAATTTTGTCGTATGAATGATCGTTGTCGAAATATATGTGTCGCCTATCCTCGTATATAATCATCAACTTGAATCGCGTTAGTCAATAAAGGAATTAAACATGTCAAATAACGAGAATGGACTTTTGAATATATATATACTATGCGAAGAGAAGAGAGCGAAGCGGAAATGACGCGCGTTGGAGAAAGCGTGTTAGCCAAATCCATTTAGTCAAGCATTAATAAATATTTATAGTCACACAAAAATAGGTCAGACATGTGATGAGTAACGGGATAAGAAGTGTACACACATATATGCGCTCATATAAAAACAGTCAAAGTTGATAAGCGAATAATTATCAAGTTCAGAATGTGACTCAAGTAGGACGAATAGACTGGTTTGTCCGAAAGCTAGAACAAGGTACATGGGTTTAATATAATAAACCGACACTACAAGTTCTCTCTTTCCCTCGTGGACGTTCGAATACAGAAATCGATTAATAATTAAGTTTCTTGAGTAGTTATTTTATAGTTGGTTGCTCATCATTGAACTAAATTGGAATTATCTATTACTTTCCCTGGGTGGAATTTCGTTCCTCTGCTGATGAGCATTTTTTTCTATTGTAATTATTAGATTTCATTGAATGTCCTGTATCTGCTGATAGGACATCCTCCAAGTACTACTAGTTTTACTTGCGTATACATTTTTTATAACAAAACCAATAGTGTACGTCTTTGAATAAACATCTTTGATTTATTTGAACTGAAAAACTATCAACCGTGTAGACAAACAGGAAGCACTCCAACTCTAGATCTAAAAGGCTGTTTGAAGAAGACCT